GCAGCGCACCACGCTAGAGACCAAAAGTAACAGATAATTTGCTGCTGTGGCCCCGACACACTGGACCTCTCTCGCCCTGAGCCTGAGAGCAGTGGACTCAGTGGACTCCTTTAAAAAGCAGCTGAAGACTCACCTGTTCAGGCTGGTTTTGGTGTGACCTTCTTCACCCTCACCTTGTTCTGCTCTCCCCACCTATTCCACCTTCCTCAGGATCCACTGATTTCCCTCTTTCATATTCACTCTCTCTCTTTCTTTACATTTTTTATCACAATTGTCTATTTTTGCTCATTTTAAATATACTTTTAATCATTTTCTAAATTATATTTTTACATTTTTTGTTTTTGTGAAGCGCCTCGTGATTTTTATCTTGAGAGGCGCCATAGAAAAGATGTTTTCTTCTTTTTCTACTTGCTGCTATACAACTGCCTGTGCTCGTCGTCGTCGTCTTCCTCCGCTTATCCGGGTCCGGGTCGCGGGGGCAGCATCCCAACTAGGGAGCTCCAGACCGTCCTCTCCCCGGCCACCTCCACCAGCTCCTCCGGCAGGACCCCAAGGTGTTCCCGGACCAAATTGGAGATGTAACCTCTCCAACGTGTCCTGGGTCGACCCGGGGGCCTCCTGCTGGCAGGACATGCCCGAAACACCTCCCCGGGGAGGCGTCCAGGAGGCATCCTGACCAGATGCCCAAACCACCTCAACTGACTCCTTTCGATCCGGAGGAGCAGCGGTTCTACTCCGAGTCCCTCCCGAATGTCCGAGCTCCTCACCCTATCTCTAAGGCTGAGCCCGGCCACCCTACGGAGGAAACTCATTTCGGCCGCTTGTATCCGCGATCTCGTTCTTCCGGTCATTACCCAAAGCTCATGACCATAGGTGAGGATTGGGACGTAGATCGACCGGTAAATCGAGAGCCTGGCTTTCCGGCTCAGCTCCCTCTTCACCACGACAGATCGGCTCAGCGTCCGCATCACTGCAGACGCCGAACCAATCTGCCTGTCGATCTCCCAATCGCTCCTACCCTCACTCGTGGACAAGACCCCGAGATACTTAAACTCCTCCACTTGAGGTAGGACCTCTCTCCCGACCTGGAGTTGGCAAGCCACCCTTTTCCGGTCGAGAACCATGGTCTCAGATTTGGAGGTGCTGATCCTCATCCCAGCCGCTTCACACTCGGCCGCGAACCTACCCAGCAAGAGCTGAAGGTCAGAGCTGGATGAAGCTAGGAGGACCACATCATCCGCAAAAAGCAGAGACGAGATTCTCCTGCCACCAAACTCGACACACTCCACACCACGGCTGCACCTAGAAATTCTGTCCATAAAGGTAATGAACAGAACCGGTGACAAAGGGCAGCTCTGGCGGAGTCCAACCCTCACCGGGAACAGGTCCGACTTACTACCGGCTATGTGGACCAAACTCTCGCTCCTCTGGTAAAGGGACTGAATGGCCCTTAACGGAAAACCACCCACCCCGTACTCCTGGAGCGTCCCCCACAGGGTGCCCCTGGGGACACGGTCATAAGCCTTCTCCAAATCCACAAAGCACATGTGGATTGGTTGGGCAAACTCCCATGCCCCCTCCATCACCCTTGCAAGGGTATAGAGCTGGTCCACAGTTCCACGGCCAGGACGAAAACCACATTGCTCCTCCTCAATCTGAGATTCAACTATCGCTCGGACCCTCCTCTCCAGTACCTTGGAGTTAGGGCTGGGCGATATGACGATTTTAGACCGTTTTACGATCCACACATCTGATGGTCTGTCATTTTTGAGAGACCTTTTTATCACGATTCACAGCTCTGCTGTTGAATTTCTGCCTCTGAATGAAAAGGGAACTTACCCCAGGCGAATGACACGCCTTTGTTTGACCCTTAACTAATCAGAGTGAGTCATAGTAATATATTAATGCCCCGCTTGTTTTCACCTGTGTGTGAACAAACATGGCTTCGGCCGCGGCTGAGCGACAACGAGGTTTTCGTTCCGAAGAGGAACGCAGGGTTTCCTTAGCGCGCGGCGCTAACAACTTAGTGACGTGACATGTCTCGGAGAAAGCGTAAAAACACGTTGGACGCTTCTTCTGAAGCGGGAAAATAACACCGCTTCTTAAGCAGAGCACGACGCCGCCTCGGCTCGTCCACCCTCTGCCGAGCCGGTGTCGGTACCGGACTGAGCTCGGTCACTGGGTCGCTGGAGCTGCATCGTGACTGCCTGATGGAAAACCAGCGGGTTTCATCAGACTCGTAGTTTCTTGTTTTTGCTGGGACCCCCTGTATTTTACCGCTCCCTCCTGCAGTCTTCCCCTATTACAATTTAAAATGATTCTGTAAATTCGTGTATCAATAGACACAATCTCTGCCTCTGCCAGCTGCGGTAAATGTAGTCTCCAAATAATAAGAGATGCATTCATCTGTGCATCTCCTTTGATCCACATTAGAGATATTCTCAGCACCAGAACAGTGAAGCAAAGAAAGATTCCTGAGTTTGTTAGTAATTTTATTTATTAGGTGCATCTAACCTGTTCTATTTTTCTCTGAAATGAGATCAAATAAGTGCTTCTATGGGTTGTCTCCAATCTGCACTGGAAAATTTTACTTTATTTAGAGACTTGTTGCAGAAAATATTCAGAATGGTTTTTTGCTACCACAAGCGATCTCTGGTCCAGCCGCACATCAGAGCCGTATTTGAGCTTAACTATCCACTACATGAGCAACTGGGAGCTACATAGTATTTTGAACAAGTTAATGTTTGCACAATACGTTTGCAATTGACATGTTTGCACTTTAAATATGTTTACGATTTTAATTTATGTTAAGTTACTTGAAAAACGAGAAAAACTGATTTTTGTAATTGTTTCTCTCAGGGCTTTTATCATCTCTGGTGTGAGTTTAAAATATAAGTGTGTTAGCACTGTGCTGATTATCCCTAATATGAATAAATGTTTATTTATTCAATGTTTCTCTTCTTTAATACGCAATTGAAGTTATGCTATTCATGGATAAAAAATCGTGATAAAATCGAAATCGTGATAAAATATTGGAAAAATCGTGATATTCTATTTTTGCCATATCGCCCAGCCCTACTTGGACTAGACCTTTCCAGGAAGGCTGAGGAGTGTGATCCCCCTATAGTTGGAACACACCTTCAGGTCACCCTTCTTAAAGATGGGGACCACCACCCCGGTCTGCCCCTCCACAGGAACTGCCCCCGATGACCACGCAATGTTGCAGAGACGTGTCAACCATGACAGCCCTACAACATCCATTGCCTTGAGATACCCAGGACGAACCTCATTCGCCCCTGGGGCACCGCCGCTGTGTAGTTGTTTGACTACCTCAGCAACTTCTGCCCCCGAGATTGGACAGTCCATTCCCAGGTCTCCCGGCTCTAGTTCCTCCTCGGAATGCGCATAGGAGGGATTGAGGAGCTCCTCAAAGTATTCCTTCCACCGTCCGACTATAGCCCCAGTTGACGTCAGCAGCTCCCCATCCCCACTGTAAACAATGTGAGCGAGTTGCTGCCTTCCTCTCCTGAGGCGCCGGACAGCTTGCCAGAACCTCTTTGGAGCCGATCGATAGTCTTTCTCCATGGCCTCACCAAACTCCTCCCACGCCCGAGATTTTGCCTCGGCAACTGTCACTGCTGCACCCCGCTTGGCTATCCGGTACCTGTCTGCTGCCTTCGGAGACCCACAGACCAGCCACGCCCTGTAGGCCTCCTTCTTCAGCCTGACAGCTCCCCGAACCTCTGGTGTCCACCAGCGGGTACGAGGGGTTGCCACCACGACTGGCACCGGCCACCTTGCGACCACAGCTAGCAACAGCTGCCTCAACAATCGCAGAGTGGAACAAGGCCCACTCGGAGTCAATGTCCCCCACTGCTCTCGGGACGCGGTCAAAGCTCTGCCGGAGGTGGGAGTTGAAGACCGTCTTAACAGGTTCTTCTGCCAGGCGTTCCCAGCAGACCCTCACTATGCGTTTGGGTCTGCCAGGTCTACGCGGCATCTTCCCCTGCCATCTGATCCAGCTCACCACCAGGTGGTGATCAGTTGACAGCTCCGCTCCTCTCTTCACTCGGGTGTCCAAAACATACGGCCGCAGGTCAGATGATACAACTACAAAGTCTATCATCGACCTGCGACCTAGGCTGCCCTGGTACCAAGTGTACCGATGGGCATCCTTATGTTCGAGCATGGTGTTCGTTATGGCCAAACTGCAGCTTGCACAGAAGTCCAATAACAAAACACCACTCGAGTTCAGATCAGGCGGGCCGTTCCTCCCAATCACACCCCTCCAGGTCAAGCTGTCATTGCCCACGTGAGCATTGAAGTCCCCCAGCAGGACAATGGAGTCCCCTGATGGAGCACTATCTAGCACTCGTCCCAGGGACTCCAAAAAGGGTGGGTACTCTGAACTGAACTGCCCATGCTATACAAATAAACTCTTCTTCTGCACAAGTGATACCAGGTGTGTCTGAGCAGGTAAACAACTAAAACATGCTGGATGAGACCCTGAAGGAGCGGGGTTGGACACCGGGATGCGAGATGGACTAACCCAAAACAGATGTGGGAGGGGCTCGTGACCCACTCTGTCCCTTTACACACACACACTCACTCACTCACTCTCACACACACACACACACACACACACACACACACACACACACACCTCCTTACCACGTTCTACCAGTGGAAACCACTCACAATAAAGCACGCGGCTGTTGTTGAACTAGAACCCTTCTGGGGAGAAACGAGTGATTTTGGTTTCACTGAACGCCAGAAAAGCTCGTTATGTCATCAGCTGACATGCACATGTAGCGGCCACTAGCCGTTAGCAGTCCAACAAAAAGCTGCTGTCTGTGGCTCATGTTAACACACACACACTTACACTAAAAACGTGACATTTGTCCAAACATGGCTTCTAAAAGGTAAAACCACCCGTCTCAGATCAAAAGGCGCTGCTTTGTTTAACCGCTTCTTGGTGATTTACAAACAAGAAAACTTACCCCGTTCATGTCCGACTTGTTTTTGTGGCTCCCGGTCGCCGCTTGCCTCACCCTCGGAGGGAAAAATCACAACAAAAGAACGGTCGGAAGTTAGCCTCGGCCTGCTTTCACGGGCCGTTCCCCGGTCACCGGGGCTGGGTGTACCGGAGCTGTGGTCGAGTCGCCAGCAGCTCAGCCAACGCAACCTCCACAGCTCCACTCCGCCATGTTTCTGTCCGAGTAGAAATGAATGAGGGGGAGAAGCAATCGCGCCCCCTGTAGGTCTGACGGCGGTAGTGAAGTAATTTATGTTTATCCATTCAAACATTTTATTAATTCTTTATTTAACCAGGAAGGTCCCATTGGGATAAAAAATAACTCATTTTCAAAGGAGTCCTAGCCAAGAGGCAGCAAATGTTACATCCATCCACCCATTTTCAGCCGCTCATCCGGGGTCGGGTCACGGGTCAAGAGGCCCAGACTTCCTTCTCCCCAGCCAATTGGGCCAGCTCCCAGGAAGAGACTTAAGGCGTTCCCAGGCCAGGTGAGAGACATCGTCCCTCCAGCATGTCCTGGGTCTTCCTTTAGGTCTCCACCCTGTTGTACGAGCCTGGAAAACCTCACCAGGGAGGCATCCAGGAGGCATCCTGACCAGATGCCCGAGCCACCTCAACTGGTTACTCTCGATAAGGAGGAGCAGCGGATCTACTCCGAGCCCCTCCCAGATGACCGATCTTCTCACCCTCTCTCTAAGGGAGAGCCCAGACACCCTGTGGAGAAAACTCATTTTGTCCACATGTATCCGTATTCTATCTGATTGTATTATTTCTGTCACTACCCAAAGCTCGTGACCATAGGCGAGGGTAGGAACATAGATCGACCGGTAAATCGAGAGCTTCACCTTCTGACTCAGCTCTCTCTTCACCACAACAGACCGGTACAACGCCCGCATCACTGCAGATGCAGCACCAATCTGCCTATCGATCTCACGCTCCAGTTTTCCCTCACTCGTGAACAAGACCTTGAGATACTTAAACTCCTCCACTTGTGACAGAACCTCATCCCAGACCCAGAGAAGGCACTCAAAACCATGGTCTTAGATTTAGAGGAGCTGATTCTCATCCCAGCTGCCTCACATTCAGCTGTGAACCGCTCCAGTGAGAGCTGGAGATCACTGTCCGATGACGCCAACAGGACCACAACATCTGCAAAAAAGCAAGCCAAAAAATATTTAAAACAATTATTTTTTCTCCACATCCACATTTTAATTTAGTTTAGTTTAGTTTAGGTCTGTCTTATCATTCAACATTTAATCTCTTTTCAAGAATAAATTATGTAAAATAAACAATCAACATACAAAAAATCAAAAACAGATTAAACAAAATTTATAAATAACAACAACAACAACAACAACAATAATAATAATAATAATATACTAATAATAATAATAATAATAATATAATAATAATAATAATAATAAAAGTAATATAATAATAGTAATAATAATAATAATATAATAATAATAATAGTAATAACAATAGTAATATAATAATAATAATAATAATAGTAATAATAATAGTAAGAAGATATCGAATGTTTATTTCTTTAAATGTAAACCAATAAACATATAAACAGTTTAATTTAAAATATTACAAAATATTTCCATTATTTCAACATGAGAGTGAAGTAAGTGAAATTAATTAAATGTTTGCAGCCTTTTCTTTACGTTTAAAGACATTTTGGTTTACTTAGTAAAGTTTTTTTTAACTAAATTACTCAATATTAATTTTAATATCAAAATACAAATAGATAAACTGGTCAGTTTTATGGCTAGATAAATGTACTATGTTTGGCACATTGTCTAACTCCAAAATTCCAATGTTACATCAAATTAATAAAACTAAATATATTAGAAATACAAACATCTGAATTAGAACTTTCATTAAGAGTTGATGCCCTCATCTAACGTGTATTTTAATTCATTTATTTTGTTTTTAACGTCAACGACTCATGCGCTTACACAGAGATTTTTCTGTTATTGATGCTGAAATTTTAGATCGGTGCTGCAGCTGACTATGTGCAATTTTACAGAAATAAACATCTACATCTTTTCATAACACTTTTAAGATATTTTAATTTACCTAGTACAAACTGAACACTTAACATTATTGCTTTCATTATTTTGAATTCCAGCTGAGCAGAGAACGAGTTTCATCCAACCATCTAAACACTGTTTCTCCAGTTCACCCATGGTTATATTGATCCACACGTTGCCTGTAGTTTGTTGGGGAGAGTGTGGTTTGTGAAGAAGCATGCATGTGTGGATTTAATTTATTATCAGGACATTTAGTGCTTTAAATGGTCAACAGAACTTAAATTGTTTTTTGAATACTGACGATTTTAAAAAATGAGTGCAAGCCAAAGAGCCCAAAGCTCAACTTGTGACAGGATATAGAAATGAGCAGAATGGAAAAAAGTAGGTTTTGTGTTGCAAATCTCCTTTTATCTGTAATTTATGCTGAAGTCTGTTGATTGTCCTGTCTTAATAATGTTATGGCTGCTTTTCTGCTTTAAATCCTGTTACATTACCTACAGACTGAAGCTGTTAGAGTGTATAAATAAACAAGCACTGGTTGGTAATCTTTTTGAATGTGTTTTAATGTGAAGTGATCTGTAATTTAGTACATACCCAAGGTGACACCACTCCCAGACATCAGCCTCAAAACCATTTAACAATTAAAACTACAAAAAGTCTGATAAGCACAGAACATGATTAAATCTAGTTTAGTTTTTTTAGTTTAATGAGAAAGAGAAGAGAAGTTTAATGAGAAATTAAAATCAATAGTACAATATAATAGTATAACAAAGAAACATTTGCAGGTTTACAAGCAAACACACAACTTACACAATGCTAAGAATGGGTGCAGGCAGAAGCATGAGCTTATAAACCCAACCCCCCAAACCCTTTGAACTTAAACAAAATTTTAGAAGAGCGTACCGATTCCATAATTTTTACATCATGTTTTAAATGTATGGGAATATATTCAAATTGCCATTCTTGCTTTATAAAAAAAATGAACTTTAATGTTTTATGCATTTTTTCATTGACTTGATTCATAATATTTAATCACATTTGATTTAAACATACGCTTAAACTTTACCATTGTTGAACAATCTTTTTGCTCCTGGTCTAATTTATTCCACACATCACACAAATCCGTGAACAAATGAAAATAGCTTTGTCACATTTTCTTGTAATTTGTGAAGTTTCAACTCACATATAGCATTTATTAAAAGTATTCGGCAGTTATACTGTTTTTGGGTGGTTGACATCAGTAACATTGGAAATCTAAATGTAAATAGAACAAAAAAAAAGCATTGTGTAAATAAGGTGATTGGTATGGAATAAAAAAGTTCAGTAAATAAAACTCAAAGCAAAAAAAAATTGTGAAGGAGAAAGGGAAGAGAGCGCAGAAGAAAAAAAAATTGTCTTTCGTCACTTCCCGTAGAAACCAGGCGGGGTCACGTGATGTGATATTAGCTCGCTGACTCTGCTATGTTTGTCGTTTATGTTAATGTTTTAGAAATGCCACAATTCTGGCTTTTATCCGTTTATTGTCGTCGACGGAGGCTCTACAGCTGTTCAGAGACCTGCTTTGGACGACGCGGCTCGAGAAGTTTCGCAGCGAAAACGGCCACTATCGGCCTACATGTCACGTGACCAGAATGCGGCGGAGCGTTTGATAAAAAGATGGCGTGAGCGCGGAGGAGCCGCGAGGACAACAAACCCTGAACTGCTCAGATCCCCTACCAGGAGCTGCAACGCCCGTACAGCTGGCCAGGTGAGTTCGCTTTACATTCATAACTTTTTCAGTTAGTTAGTCACACGTCCTGACATTTCACAAGCTCTCATTTGTCGTTCCGATTTTAGATTTGAAAGATGAACTTTTAAGTAGTTGGTTTTGAGGTTGTTACTGCCTTCTCCTGGTGCTAAAGCTAGTTAGCATCAGACAACCCAGTACTCGTGAAACCGTTATAACGTTACAGCAACAGGGGTCGTCGGCTCGCTCATTTAACCGTTGCTCAGCTTTTGTGTTACAGGTTAGAAACAACACACTTGGAAATTGTTAAAGGTGATTTCCTAACCCTGCGGTGCTCATAAATGATTTTGCTAACGTCATTTATCAACAACTCAACTTCCAACACCTTCAGCGTTACGAGTTACCCTGTAAACGTTCTTATCCATTATGTTAACCGGCCGTTCACAAGACAAAAATTGAGGACAACTATTACAAATTTTAGTAACTTTCCATGAGCGAAAATTAAACTGTATGAAAAGGTGGTCTGCCATATGGAGCTGCATCTGCTGTCAATAACATTCAGCCATGACTGCTTTGAGGTTGTGTCGCCTAACAAACGTGTAGCCATCTGCACCTTGCTTAGTATTTAGTCAGACTGTCGTTTATATTTGAAGAAACACTAGCGCCTGTCAGTAATATTTTCAAAATGTACCTCAGCCCAGTTCCTTTTAGCTTACTGCTAGTAGGCAAGCTAGCATAGCTGAGCTAACTACCAGGCCGGTTTAGCTGTTACGACAACAGGGAAACAGTCGTTCTTGCATATTAAATTATATTTTTTGGGGCAAGTTTGGGCCCCAAAATGCACTGTAGGTGCGCTTGTTGTAAATATTATTTATTTTGCCTGGTAAAAGTTTAGCGAAGCTAGGGTAAGTCAATGAGAGCAGGAAGTTGAAGGCAGGGCATTGCAAACACGTGCCTTGTTTTGGGTCACTTTGAATCAAGTCGTTTACGAGTTATTCTGTAACGTTTAATTCGTTTACCTTTTAGAGAACCTGCCCCTGGTCGGTTTTGAACATTAAACAGTTTCATTTTCATTGTTGGTGAGCGATCTGATTCGTTAAAAGGAGTTACGAATGTTCCTTTTATTGTAATGGCAGTTAAAGTCGTGAAAAGCAAGTTAAAAGACGTTAAGTCACCTGTTATGTGGGGTCCTCAGTAATCATTTGTTTTGGTAATAAATACTAGAGGCTATTTTTAGTGTCTTACCATCTTTAACTATGTGTTTTAAGTATATTTAGTCTCGCACTAGGTTTTATTTACCTTCAGTGACCTTCTTTCTGTTTACATTAAGCTGTTAAAATGGATTTAATGTTGTTAATTCTCTGGACGTTGGTAAGTTCTAGTTCCTGTTTTTGTTGAGTAAAGATTGAATTTATTTGGTTATTTATGAATAAAACCTTTAAACAAAAGTGATTTAATGTAAGGGGAAGTAAACACCATTATTACATGTTTCTCATGTACCGTGTTCAGCGCCTTGGGCTTCCCGACAGGGTCGCGGAAGGCGCTTTATAAATAAACCTTTGATTGATTGATTAATTGATTACCCGAAAAGTTCTGTTTGTGCAAACTCTCATTATTACGATCAGTCACTCTGAGTTTTTAATGCAGGCTGAACATGAAAATTGTCTCCTACACCTATCTCCTGCGTTAGCTTCTGCTAGAAAATAGAGGGTGAAACTCTAGGATTTGAAAATCCTACCAGAGCTATGTCACACTCGCTTAACATTCAAGGACTCTCCTACCTTCACCAACCTTCTCAGTGGCCTAGTGGTAGTGTCTCCGCCCTGGGACCGGGAGATCGGGTCAAGTGCAGAGAGGAATTTCACCAGTTTGGTATTAAATAATGGAATTTTACCTTTAATCTTGACCCACGACGAGGAAGACTGTTGTTGGTTTAACATCCAGGAGACAGCAGAGCGTCTGCTAGTAGAAGCTAACGTTAGCATTAGCAACTCCATCACACGGCATCCGGCTTGTGTCATTTGTGGAGATAAATCATTAAAGTTGCAAAGCAAACAGAGACAGCAGTGTTGCTGTTAGCCAATCGGGAGAAGAGATTTCCAAATGTCAGGAAATAAGACTCCAGATAGCTACTTTCTCTTAGGGTTGGGTTATATGTAGGGCTGCAACTAACGATTATTTTCATAATCGATTAATCTGTCGATTATTTTATCGATTAATCGGTTTATTGTTTAGCTATTTAACCTATACAAGTGATGAATACATTTCAGTTAAGAAAAAGAAAAACGTAAGAGAATTGTGCAGTTGACTGCAATCTATTTTATTGCACATGAACACAGTCAGCGGTGTAAAATGAGCTAAACAGTGCAAAATATCAGTCCAGAATCATTTTTTAGCATGAAAATATAAGAGGTAAATTCCATAAAAAATAATGTAGAATCTAGAATAGAGTTTGTAAGTGGTATGCATTGCTGGGGGTGAATGTGTCTTGTTCCCCATGTAGTTGTCCATCGTTGCTTGTTTTTTTCTGCATAAGAAACACAAATAGACTGACATAAGTACACATATAAAATAAAGCAGCACACACACTACAACACTAAATCAATATTACATTATTTGAATTAATTAACAATATACAGTGATCATTTATTTTGACAAAAATGTGTTGTGAGGCGTTTTGCAGCGTTAGACAGTAAAACAGCATTTTAATAGTAAAAAAAATGACTTTCTGAATTTCTCCTGTATTTAAAAATTGAAAGCGTACAACTATGCCGCGTTATATTCACCTGGACACAGCTCGTCTGTATATTTTTCTCCGCGGAGTTGTCCTTTTTTGAATGAGGAACATAGTTATGGGTTTGTGCCGTTTTTCTCTTAACGAGAACATTCTTATAAACAGTAGGACTGTAGCGAAGCCTCGATGACGTCGACGGCTCGATTCTAGGGCTGCAACAAACGATTATTTGGATAATCGATTAATCGGATGGGGTCTCGACACGATTAATCGATTAATCGGATTACATGGGGAAATTTTTAAAAACTGCTAGGGAAACGTTATTTCTCTCCTTCCTTCACTTTATTTAACACAACATTATTAGAAAACAGTTCAATAGCAGAAAAACAACATGCCATCACCTAAATTGTCTTATAAGGTGTATAGACAGAGACCCTAAGCTACATCTATCTGTGACCTAAAATGCTTGGTCCAAGTTAAACAGCTTAAGGGCAATTCTCATCTGTTTTGTTTGATCTCATCTGTTGACATTTATTTTAAATGTAATTAAACATAGGCTGTGAATTAATCAAAATTGATCACTATTTCCAAAAATGACTGAAAAAATACCAAATAAAACAAAAGTAAATGAATGCCATCCTATTTGCGATGATGCCCTGGGCAACTGCCATAAAGTCACATCAAGAAATGCTGCTGATCATTCCAATGATCCCAAATAGACTCACATTAGGCCACATGAAAGCAACTGAACTCAAAAATATATTAACCAGTATATAACTGCACTCTCACACAACATGCCTGCAGCAACAGTTAGAACTCATCCCTCCCTTTTAAAAGCGTTTTTGCTTCTGAGGACATTGTGGTCGTAAAACCACATGCTAGTAGTCTGGCCCCGGTGTGATCAACCAGTTTCTGCGGGAATGTGACGGCGGAACCAGGGCCAGATTAACACTTTGTTGTACCCTGGGCAACAATATTCAAGGGCTCCATCATCACGACCCAAGGATCACCATAATGTGGTCACATACAGAATATTTTACTGTAATATGCAGTAAATATACTCAATACTTGAATGCCTGACAACACGTAACCCGCCCAGAGTAACCTTTGACCCACCTCGTGTGGACTGACCAATGAGGAGAGGGTCTTAACTTGAGGCCCTCTCTTCATTGGTCAGTCTGCATGAGACTGACTCTCAACTGACGTTCAGTCGTAGGCAGCGAAGCGTCTCTGTGCAGTGCAAAAGCCCGGGTGGACAGTTTGTTTAATATAGGGTGATCATATTTCCATTTCCAAACAAGAGGACAGGGGATCTGTGCCTATGACGTCACACTATGGCAACGCCACACAAACCACGTTGGGACCCACTTTTTGTAAGAACTAAATTAATATCAGATTCTGCCAATTAAAGGGCTCTAAAACAATTCATATGTAAATATTTTGCATATTTAATGCAAAATCTAATTTTTCTGCTTTAGTGCTGCAACAAGGTTTTATTAATAATAAATTATTATACCTTTTGTTTTACTACATCATCGGTAAGCTTCCTGTGCACAGATTATTAAGGATGCTTGTTTCAGCTGTGAGATTAGACGATAGGATCAATGCATTTTGCCTTGGCCCCCAAAATGTCTTGAAACGGCCCTGGGTGTGTGACTGAGTTTTGAAGGTGATCTGAATTGTATCAGATGTATAAATATGACATGTGTATAACTTATTGTTTTTTACTGGTAAAAACGTGTAGTGGTGATAACTCTACCTACATTTTACTTTTCAACACTTTGTTTTGTTTTCTTGTTTTTATTGAACTATTTTCCTGTCCTGTCTGTCTCTCATCTTCCTGCATCTCCTCTTAATTCTCCAGAAAATCTGTTGCCTGGATTCTTACCTTTTCACCTCATCAGTTACTTTTGAGCAGATCAAAGGGATCTCCTGACCGAAAAGCGCAGAGCGCGTTTTCGATGCTGCGTGAGGTGACATCACCACAGCACAGGTGATGAGCTCCGCAGTAGCGAGCTTCAGGCACAAATAAGACAGAAAATAGAGAACATGTGCGGACATGAACGATCGTGTGCTAATTATAGTTTTTTGGTTGCGCCACTTTGAGAATGGACCGTGCGCTGGAAGCAGCTGCCTGGATCGCTGTGCAACAATGCGGAACCGGTTCGCAGCAGCGCAAGTCTGCCGGCTCTCCCTCGCGCTGATCTGCCGCTACCGGCTCTCCACGCTGATCTGCCGGCTCTCCCTCGCGCTGATCTGCCGGCTCTCCCTCGCGCTGATCTGCCGGCTCTCCCTCGCGCTGATCTGCCGGCTCTCCCTCGCGCTGATCTGCGTCTCTCCCTCGCGCTGATCTGCGTCTCTCCCTCGCGCTGATCTGCGGCTCTCCCTCGCGCTGATCTGCGGCTCTCCCTCGCGCTGATCTGCCGGCTCTCCCTCGCGCTGATCTGACTTGCTCTGGTCTGCGCGCAACGGCGGGTGGGAAGGGGGGGCGCTTTTGGAAGAGTTGTGCGACACAACGAATCGATGACGCAATTCGTTGCCAACGCTTTTAGTAATCGATTTTCATCGAATTTATCGATTCGTTGTTGCAGCCCTAGTCATTAGAATAGTCGACTATTCGATAAAATAATCGTCAGAATAATCGTTTTAAAAATAATCGTTTACCCCCAGCCCTAATAAACAGATGTGCTAAATTTGGCAAGCGCATGATACACAACACGGAGGAGATTCACGATTGCATCTAGTCAATCAGAAGTAGAACACCGTAGACTGATGCGGCAAAAAAACATCTTTAACATTCACTATAACAAACTCAGCTCCCAAATTTGATCTGCGTTAGCTTGTTTATTTTCTGCTACTTACCGGACTTTCCTCTGCTGCATCAGCCCCCACATGTTTTCGTCTCAAATGTTCACTTAGGGACGTCGTGCTTCCGTGCCATGCTAGATGATTTTTGCATATTTTGCAGGTCACCCGTCTTTTCAAGGCATCTAGAGTGAAGTGCTCCCATACTCGTGAGGTTTTTGTCCGGGATTTCTCTTCAGTTTTGTCGCTTCTATTTTTCTTCCGTATTTCTTCTTGTTCTGCCATCTCTCACAGCAAGATGAGCGTCAGTAACGTGATACGTCATGAAAACCGAGTGCACTTATTGGCTCGTTTCTTCTTCTATGGCTCCACTGGTAGATCAGTGGCTCATTACTGCCACACACTGGCGGCAAATTTAACAGATTGTAACCGATGTCAGATTGTGGTAAAAAATAGACTTTATGCGGTAAAATATGATTCTTAAACAACTAATCGATGACTAAAAAAGTTGTTAGCTATTTTAATAATCGATTATAATCGATTAAATCGATTAGTTGTTTCAGCTCTAGTTATATGTATAATGTTTTTAACCTCCAATCGCCCGTCCAATAAATTATGATATATTTGCTTATGTGACTCAGAGCAACGTAATCATGCACGAACTGACAGAAGAAGCAGAAACATGGATTTTTTTAAATATTTTTTTATGAAAACCCAGTGCAGATGTTAACTGGAAGAGCCATTTTAATTTTTCCTGCTTTTTGTTTAATTTTATATTTTATCGAATGACATTAACAGCCTGTATTAAACATGGTTATAGTGATAAAAAGAAGCCTCGACTTTGTTTCCCTGCAGTGAGGCTTTTACTTTAAACAAAAGGGTTTTTTCTCTGAACATAGGCTACTGCCTTTCTTACTTTTATGAGTTTGAGTAGGAAATGGAATGAATCATACATGCATTTGGACGCGCTCTGAGGAGGGTGCATTTACTTGCAGCCTGAGTTTGTGAGATCCATTTATCTGTCAGTTTTGTTAAAGAGCAAGTCACCCCCAAATCAACTTTTTCTCCTGATAAACTATGTAAATGTGTGTCTAATCGTGCTGCAGACACGTGTAGTCAATAGTTTAGCACTTTAGTGCATTTTAGTTAAAATTTTAATTTTTTGCCTAAAACTGTCAGTGTTGTGCCGTTGTCAGGTAAAAATTCTGCACTGCATTTGAATTTAAATCTGCCATCGCTATTTGCTAAAGCCGGGCGGACACTGTGCGACTTTTTCACTCGTAGCACTCAGCTTCAGCTCAAACTACGACTTCCTCGCAGGGCAGATCTCACGAGTCATGCGCTCACACTGCACGACCCAGTTCTCGGATGCGACCCGACTGCTCACACTACGTCTGGTAGCAACACGTCGGCCCTAAAAATATGCTAAAAATAGCAGTTTTTACACAACACGTCAGACTTTTTTGTCTTGCCTGTTGTCCTTCGGGAGTGCTGCAGGAGGACACACAGGGATTTATGGGGGTTGGATGAGGAAAACCAAATAAAGAAAGTAAATCTGTGTTTTGTGATCAGTTTAATTTGACATGAACACGACAAACACGCTTTCTTGACAATCTTTGTCAGTAAAAAAACGTGTAGAAACAAAAACGAACAGCGTGTGTTATTAGGGAAATAGCGGGCGACCGGCGTTGATCAGGTGAGCGGTTCTGATACTTTTTGGGTCGCAGCTGCTCGCAGCGCCGCTTCAACAGTGCGATACCCTCACGAGGGACGAGCGAAATATCAAACACGCCAGAAGTTTGTGCAAGCTCACAATTGCTGATCGGTAGCTGGTCACGTGGTGTTAATCGCCTCTCGTAACCCCCTGTACACTACACGACGCTCGGCGCTAAACCCGCCCCGATCTCGTGGATTCTCGCACGAGTGGAAAATCGGCTCAAAAAAGTGAAAAAGTCACACAGTGTACGCCCGGCTTAAGAGGTACCCTAGAACTTTAGCTGGTACCATATGTCACTGTGAGCCTGTGTGTGTGTGTGTATTTGTTAGCGGCTCCGCCCTCTCGGTCTGCTAGGTAACGGCATTTGTTGCATTTTTCAAACAGGAAATGGGAGTGGAGTAAGAATCTGGTAGGGGGTGACTTGCTCTTTAAAGAAAGACATCCAATAAAACCATTAAATTTCCATTAATTTTAAATTAATATTCAGTTCAAACTGGATGAACAGACAGTCCCCCAGTAACATAAACAATGCAGTTAACAGATTTAACTTGAATTATGCTTTTAACCTGCTGCGGCTCAAACACACATTGCTTCTGCTCCAGGTAAACCCGAACGGTTCACCCACTTGTCCGTCTGTAAATGGATGTCTCAGGGGTCTTGCTGAAGACGCTGTAGTCACGAGGTTCTGGACTTGGTCTCGGACACACTCGTGGTAGTCTTAATGTTGTTGTGGTGGCTGAATCTGCGCTCTGCTGGCACACTGAGACTGACAAACAAGCACTAAATCAGCCCGTTTTTAAATTCTGGGTTTCTACCTCCCAGATCTGGATGGAAGCGCTCAACATTGTGCTCTTATGCATAGGTGTGTCACAAACGCGCTCCGAGCTCCTCTTTAGCACGCTGTCAACAGCCAGATGCAGAGAAAGTGCGAGATGATGCTCAGATGCTCTAATGAAAATCTTTTTTTGATTACTTTCCTCTGTGATGTGCTCTGTGTCCTCATTTAAAATATTTGTGCGCCTGCCCGAGTCGTTTTTTTTACAAATGGGGAAAATAAATTATTAAACTGATCACTCTTGTAAAAATGATTGTTGAAAGGCTCTACCTATCGTGGATGGTTGAATAAGTTGTCGAATTGCCCAACCTGACTTTCTCCTCCAGCTAGGCATTTCCCCCGAGCATTCATTCCTACTTGAGACCACTGCAAATGTTTTGATTACAGTTGATCATTCACTTTGGCCGATAATTGTTTCACCCCTGAATGTTGTAGAGTTATTGAATGTTTGCCCCTTTGGTTTATTTAAATACAAAACATTGGCATCTTCCATTATGTGACTATACAGTTATCTTTGTTTATTTTTACAGATGGATCCTGGACAGGATTTACTCCTTGCTGCTTTAAGTGAAAGTGGAATTTGCCCAAATGACATTGGCCTGTTAGATGTTGATTCTCAGGATGTTACACAGCCTTCTACAACCCAGCAGGTAAGATGGTTCTTGGATGATCTCTTTGAGAACCCATCATTTTTAGTTATTTTTGGCATTTACAGTGTAAGTATGAGTTTGGGGTTTCTGCTCTTCTCCCAGTCCATCTCCATCAGTGCGCTGGATGCTGGTGTGGGAACAGAATCTGTGGAGGTTGTTCGATCTGAGCTTGCAGCTGCAGTTCCCATTGTTACAGTCCGAGTGAGATTACAGAACACAATGTTCCTCAGGAGTATTTGTGAGGCATTGTTTTGTTTTAAATATGTTTCTGTGTCATATTTTCACACAGCAGAAGCCTCAGCCATCAGCCACCACATTTGTCTTAAATCAGCTGAATCAGCTGCCATCGCTGGGAGCTGCTGTGACCAAACAGACGGTTACAAATCCAATCAAGCATACCATAACTGTCACCAAGGTGGTCCATGTGGCTAATCCAGGACTGCGAGCTTCATCAACCTCACTGGCTACAAACGTTCCTTCTTCAGTGTCCACTATAGTGCCTTCTAGCAAAGATCAGGTGAGCCTTAGTGCCTTATGGCTTGTTGCGTACCCTGATAAATGTAATCTTAGTTCCTTGGATAATCAGTTTGGCTTTAAGCCAAAACATGGTACTGACATGTGTATATACGCACTTAAAGAAATGGTCAACTGGTATAGAATTAGAAATTCTTCTGTCCTTATGTTTTTTATTGATGCCTCTAAGGCTTTTGATCGTGTAAACCACAGAAAACTTTTTATTAAGTTAAAGCTACGGGGGGTCCCTGGGTTTATTGTGAGAATCCTGTCTTACTGGTATGCTCATCAGAAGATAAAGGTTAAATGGGGTGCCAGCATCTCTGCACCATTTGGTGTTAGTAATGGTGTTAGACAGGGTGGAATTCTGTCTCCTGTCTTATTTAATCTGTACGTTGACGATCTGTCTGTGCAGCTGAGAGCCTGTAACACAGGATGTTTGATGGGTACAACTTTGATCAACCATCTGATGTATGCTGATGATCTGGTGGTCTTTAGTCCAAGTAGTGCTGGTTTACAGCAGCTCCTAAATATCTGCTCTGAATATGGTGTGCAGTACGATATTCAGTATAATGCTGTTAAGTGCTATCTTGATATGTAGAACCAAGCAGGATAGAAAGCTAAACTTTCCTGTGTTCAAACTGTCTAATAGTGATATTAATGTGTGTGAGAAGGTGAAATACCTTGGCCACTTTATAACCGATCAAATGCGTGATGATGCTGACATCCACAGACAGTGCTGTAAGCTGTATGCACAAGCTAACACTATAGCTCGTAAGTTTGGTTTTTGTTCACTCCAGTTAAGGTGGCTTTATTTAAAGCATATTGTACTCTGCTCTACACAGCCCAACTGTGGTCATCCTACAGTCAAAGCAGCATGAACAAGCTGCAAGTTGCATACAACGATGCCTTAAGGGTCTTTCTTAAAATACCCAGAGGGGGCAGTGCCAGTCAGATGTTTGTAACAGCAGGCATTTGTACTTTTAAAGCTCTTTTAAGAAAACTCATATTCACTTTTACAGGCCGACTGGATAGCTCATTTTAGCAATCACTGATCCTACTGTGAGCAGTTGTCACTATTTGTCCAGTGTAAGGAAACACTGGCTGAAGTGTTTGTGTGGTTAACCTTGTGTGGAACAGTTTATAGTAAAGCTTTTAATTACATTTAGATTTTTATTCAATTTTATGCTGTTATCTTTTTATTTCTATTGATCTATTTTGTTTCATTGGTCTGTTGTTTTATATGTATTTTATCTGGACCTAAGAGTCTGTCAATAAAGATTATCTATCTATCTGTCTGTCTGTCTGTCTGTCATCTATCTATCTCAGTAGACTGACTATCCTGCTAATGCATTTTAATCTCTCAGCAGATTCAGTTGAAAGACATGCTTCGGACCGGCAATGTAAAAACCAGCGTTCTAAAAGGCAACAGCTTGATGGAGCTCATGAAGCTGAAGCCTCCTCCTGACATCGCTCCTCCAGTGGCGACCGCAGCAGCCACGGGTTCAGGTAAAACGTTTAAAGGTGTGATATGAACGTTTTTTCATATTTAAGCCAGATCATTGGATTTCATTCACTGCCAGCATTTCTCACCGTTTTTACTGTTTTTTTTTAAGAGTGACAGAACGCTGCGCGTTAGGATGATGTCGACGCCGAAACAAAGCAGAGACTCACCTCTTACATCAGGAAGAATCCGCGCGTTTCGAGCGTTATCCGTTCTTTCATAATCCGTTGTTGAATTGTGATCGGCAGACGCTTTCCCGGTTCGTGCCTCACTTTTTTTACAGCAGTGGCCCAAAACGATCTCCTAACACATGGATGTTCTGCTTCCTGATCACGTGACGTGTGAAGATCGGCTTTAGAGCTGGGATCCAATCCAATTTTATTTATAAAGCGCATTCACAAGGCATTACAACCAAACAAGGCGCTGTACACTAAAAATGTTAGATTAATTAAACTGGCGTTATACAAACATGTCGAACACAGATAAAAGATAAAAAGGAAATACAACAAAATTCCCAAAAATAACAGCTAAAAATAAATAAGACACAGGGTGAATAAAAATTAGAAAAAACATTTTAAAAATATCCTCAATAGTACGGAAGTCGATAATTGTGGAGTCCATTTTTAAACAGTGCAGATGTAAGTGATGGTCATAATTATGTGGTATAAGCTAGGTTGTTTGTTCTCACGGTGCGGGGGCTCGTCCGACGCCCACACAGTAAAAAAAAAATAAACTGCAAATTCATTCATTGGCAGTGAATGAGTTAAGAAGACAAAAGTTGAGATATAATAATTTTTATCCAATAACAGAATGCTTCCATGTTTCTTCTTGTGAAGCGCCTCGTCGTCTTTAGAGGTGCAGAATAAAAAAACATCTTTCTTCTGCTCTACATAAACAGTCTGCGCTTGTCCACTTCCATCTTTTGCTTCCTGCCTTTACATCATTAAAATAGATTTCAAGAGAACAAATTTAGAACTGTTCATTCTCGCATTGGAAAATTTACTATATCCCCTTTCCCTAATGTTTCCCAGTTTGTACGTCATTTTCATCTGAGATGATGATGCTGCTAACAGAAGAACGGCCTCCTCCAGGCAATCCTGTATTGATTCAGCGTGTCACTGTGTTAAGCGAGGAGTGGCTACTAGGGCTGAAACGATTCCTCGAGTACCTCGAATAATTCGAGTACAAAAAAAGCCTAGAGTCAAATTCTCTGCCTCGAGGCTTCGCTTAATTCATGTATAATTAATTCATGGCTTTGCAATCGCCCGGGGTCATGTTTCATCCGGACCGAAATAAGTGATGCACATACACACTGCACTGAATGCACACGCGAGTAGCAAATGTAACTTAACTTTCTCTTAAGCCATGGCGCACGACGTGGACCCCGGTGGAGTGTGAAAAAGACAGAAAGGGTCAAAGGTGCGGGACCATTTTTCATGTCGTAAGGCGGAAAACGTAGTCCAGTATAAAAACTGTAAAATGGATCTAGCCTACCACAACACCACATCCTCCATGCTGCAGCACCTGACCAGGAAACATCCACATGTAAATGTCACTTCTGCAAGCGGACTCGGAGGTCTGCTATGTATTCTGCGGACACTGTGCAACTTTTTTGTTTGTAGCTCTCAGTTTCAGCTCACACTGTGTATCTGGTAGCAACACGTCGGACCTAAAAATGTACTAAAAAAAACGTTTTTACGCAACATGTCAGACTTTTTATTGATGTCTGTTCTAGGGTTGTCACGGTAACCGGTGTAGCGGTAAACCCCGGTGAAAAAGTTGACAATAATAATAACAGTCTTGTTTTTATAAAACTATATTATCTCGGTGGATTACCGTGGCTGCGGTGTAGGCGCGGTGACCCTTACCAGCCACCGTATCATCTGCTGAAGTTGCCAGCGGCACATGCGCACTTTGTTGTTTACAACCAAAACTTTCTTGAAGCTAAAGCTGAAATAATGGCCAAAGGAGGAGACGGCAGCCCTCAGGAGGACATTTATTATCCCTCAAAGAAAATAAAGTGGGAAGTACGGGCATCTTTTGGATATGTGAATGCCGAGGGACAGCTGATAGAAGACGGCTATCCTGTTTGCAGCACGTGCAGAAAAAGTGTCTGTGAAAGGCAGCAACGCTTCAAATCTCATGACACATCTGCGTGACCATCACCCACAACTCAACAGTCAACGCAAGGCAAGCTAACGTTAGCGTTTTAGCTAAAATGCGTGATCCGAGGATTTGGGTTGAGGGAGAACGCAACGAGTCGCTATATAAAGCAGCCGCTGCGCCGCTACCTGCATATAAACCGTGTCGCGGACACTGCCATGTTGAAATGACGCTATGCATTACGGGGCTCCCAGGGGCAGATAAGAGCTGGTCTCTCTCCGAGAATAATTATGAATTTAACAATGATTACTGCCTGATGACATTTTCCCACATCTGCAAAGCTCACTGGAAGGACACAAACCGAGGACGATATTTTCCTGATATAGAGTTTATTACTCAAGTAAGGGTAAAAAAGTATCTGATTAGAAGGCTACTTGAGTACTGAGTATCATCTGATCTAATATTTTTAAAATGATGACATTAAACAGACAAAAAAATAAGAAGTTATGGGCAAATATTGGTATTTTAAAGACTAAAGGGAAAAAATGTAAACAAATAAACAACATAATTACAAAATAACACATTTTAGGCTAAATTTAGACACAAACTGAGGACAATATTTCCTGACATACAGGGTTTATTTAGTTGTCTGAAAATGTAGCACGTTTAAAAGAAAAATACCGCGATAATACCGAAAACCGTGATAATTTTGGTCACAATAACCGTGAGGTTAAATTTTCACACCGTGACAACCCTAGTCTGTTCCTAGTCCTCTAATTTCCCTCTGGGATTAATAAAGGATTGATTGATTGTTGTCCCTCGGGATTGCTGCAGGAGGATGCGGGTATTTATGAAAGGAAAACGTAAACAGTAAATAAATGTTTTGTGATCGGTATAATTTGACATAACCACGGCAAACATGCTTTCTCGACAATCCTTGTTATTGTGTGAGAACAAAAGTGTAGAAATGAAAACGGATGTGTGATAATAGGGAAATAGCTGGCGAGCCATGTTTGCGCATGCGCCGTGAGCGGTTCTGGTGCTGTTTGGGCCGCAGCCGCTCGCTGTGCTACTTCAACAGTTATCCTAGTTTTTGTCTGGCTTGCAGGCTGTTAGGGTAGGGTTAGGGTAGGGTAGGGTCACACGAGGGGAAAATGGGTCCAGGCTGTATACATGTTGTTGCACAGGCGTTTGTTTACTGTGGAGTAAAGATGAAGTGCTGAAGTTTTGAAAACTGATTTTGAATGAAACTTGAAGAATAACTGGCAATTGCGTGCTCATTTTAAGAGGTCTTTCATATTTTATAACATGCTATTTGATATGTTTACAAACACAAAAGGGTCATTTATTAGAGTACTCGATTAATCAATAAAAGATTCCATAGAGTACTCGATTACAAAAATATTCGATAGCTGCAGCCCTAGTGGCCACTGCGATGCTTTTAGAACCTTGTTAAGTGTCACCAAATGTATGTTGGAGGCTCCTGAGCTGATCTGAGGTGAAATCCATGCTGGGGTACCACTGACCATCACATCAGTCACAGCTTGGTGTCTCTGTGTTTCAGGTGAAATGAACAACGGGATTAAAAAAGAGATGCTGGGTAAAGATGGCACCAGAATCTGGATTAAAGATGACATGAAGATCCAAAACCTTTCTAATGCACTGGTAAGTCTCTCCTTTGTTGTTACAACATGTTAGTTTGGTGTAAAGCACCTTGTGCTACATGTAATAAAGGTTCTGTACTTATTTTCTAAAACTCTCTGGTGGAATTTTCCTGTACAGAAACCTCCGGGTCTAAGAGAAGAAGATGAGCCAGAGGAGGAGGAGGAAGATGAGCTGGGTCACGCAGAAACATATGCAGAGTACATGCCGATGAAATGTAAGGATGACTTGTGCTTGTGGAGATCAAGTGATCAAAGCAGCATTTGGTCCCTGTGGACTGGGATGTTGAATGAATGAGAAACCCAACCTGATGATAGAAAGATCAAAGACCACATTTTTCAGCTCAGAGACTCTCCTCACTGATGAGTTTGTTTGTAAATGCAGTGAAAGTGGGCTTGAGGCATCCCGATCCTGTAGTGGAGACCAGTTCTCTGTCCAGCGTGAGCCCTCCTGATGTGTGGTACCGGCTCTCCATCCCAGAGGAAGCCATTGATCGCGGCTGCTTGTCTGCTCTGCAGCTGGAGGCCATCACATATGCAGCCCAGGTGAGCAGAGCTTCTCCCTCAAAAGTAAACCATCTAGCCCAACCAGAGGGCTGAGTTTTAATGCTACCTGCTAACTCCTTCTGAGAATCACATTTTGTTCTTTTTCTTTTGGCCAGATTTTTCTGCTGCACTGCTAACATGATGGGACGTTTTTGAGCTACATTTGTATTTGACGTGAATTTGGATAGCTGTGACGTTGGATGTGCTACTACTAGTTTACCCGTTTAATTATAGATCCACTAGGATAAATACAATAAAGTTTATCTCTCACCACATAGAATATTTACTAAGACATCACAATGTAACTATAGACATTACTTTGTCTTTGTCCGTGCGCGCGTGCGTGCTTGCTTGCGTGTGTGTGCGTGTCTGCTCTGTCTTCTCGATCCCCAGTGTGTCGTGGAGGATGGCTGCTTATACTGAGCCAGGATTCTCTGGAGGTTTCTTCCTGTTAAAAGGGAGTTTTCCTCTCCACTGTCGCTACATGCTTGCTTAGTATGAGGATTGCTGTACAGTCACTGACACTAGTCAGTGACTTGATGCGACCTGCTAAGTTCCTTATATAGGAAATATTATTTCTGATTGGCGTAATGAACTGACCTGTACTGGAGTGTTATGTGAAGGTCCTTGAGACGACTCTTGTCGTGATTTGGTGCTTTATAAATAAACTTGACTTGAATTGAAATTGAATTGTGTTGATATGAAATGTTTTACCACCTCTAGCCCACATCGATCATTCATTATGATCTCACAAGTAAACTGAAACTGTTGTTCAACAGCAACACGAGACATTCCTCCCGAACTGCGATCGAGCAGCCTACCTGATCGGTGACGGGGCAGGTGTGGGGAAAGGCCGGACCATCGCTGGGGTCATTTATGAGAATTACCTTCTGGGCAGAAAGAGATCGCTCTGGTAAATGTCCTGAAGTCTTCGTGCAGTCATTGCAGCACAGCATTGACTTTTAAATGTAAACAATAATCTGCTTTTCTGTTTAGGTTTAGTGTCTCTAACGATTTAAAATATGACGCTGAACGGGATTTAAGGGACATTGGAGCCAAAAATATCCAAGTCCATTCACTGAACAAGGTAAGATGGTTTAAGCCGGGCGTGCACTGTGTGACTTTTTCACTTTTTTGAGCCGATTTTCCAGTCGCGCGAGAATCCACGAGATCGGGGCGAGTTTTGCGCCGAGCGTCGTGTAGTGTGCAGGGGGTTACGAGAGGCCATTAACACCACGTGACCTGCTACCGATCAGCAGTCGTGAGCTCGCACGGACTTCTGGCTTGTTTGAAAATTTGCTCGTCCCTCGTGAGGGTATCGCACTGTTGAAGCGGCGCTGCGAGCAGCTGCGACCCAAAAAGTATCAGAACCGCTCACGGCACATGCGCAATCATGCATCAACACCGCTCAGGTCGTGCAGTGTGAGCGCATGACTCGTGAGATCTGCCCTGCGAGGAAGTCGTACAGTTTGAGCTGAAGCTGAGTGCTACGAGTGAAAAAGTCGCACAGCCCGGCTTTATGAGACGACAACATTTGAATGCTTTTAACTTACTGTGTTTTAAACGTTTCAGTTCAAATATGGCAAAATCTCTTCCAAACACAACGGGAGTGTGAAGAAAGGTGTGATCTTTGCCACCTACTCATCCTTGATAGGAGAGAGCCAGTCGGGGGGGAAGTACAAGACCAGATTTCATCAGCTTCTCCACTGGTGCGGAGAGGACTTTGATGGGGTCGTATCCTTTTGTGCCGAACTCTAAAACTATGCTTGTGAATAGAAAGACAAATGTGTTGATTCTTCTTTAACCAAGTCTTTTAGATCGTCTTTGACGAGTGTCACAAAGCCAAAAACGTGTGTCCCATCGGGTCCTCCAAACCCACCAAAACTGGCCTTGCTGTGTTGGAGCTGCAGAACAAACTCCCTAAAGCTCGGGTTGTGTACGCCAGCGCCACGGGTTGGTGAACATGAGCAGGTACCAGCTGAACTCGGTGTTGGATAGAAGAGTTGAACGTGTGATTTGTCATCCAGGTGCCTCGGAGCCGCGGAACATGGCGTACATGAACCGGCTGGGAATATGGGGCCTTAAAACGCCGTTTAGAGAGTTTGGCAACTTTATCCAGGCTGTGGAGCGCAGGTACGTTTATTTTGACAGAAAATATCACAGAACAGATATTTGATTGTAAAAAACCCTTTACATGATTTGGCTTCTGTTTGATTAGGGGTGTCGGCGCCATGGAGATCGTAGCTATGGACATGAAGCTAAGGGGCATGTATATTGCACGACAGTTGAGTTTCACAGGCGTGACTTTCAAGATTGACGAGGTTCCCTTAACGCAGCAGTACGTTAAAATGTACAACAAGTCTGTGAAGCTGGTGAGCATTTGATGTCTCCTTTCAGTCTTTAACTTGTGCAGACACTTAGCAAATCAGCATCACGTTTCTCTTCACCTTGCAGTGGGTGAGCGCCCGTGAGAAGTTCCAGCAGGCTGCAAACCTCATGGAGGCCGAGCAGCGCATGAAGAAATCTATGTGGGGTCAGTTCTGGTCGGCCCATCAGAGGTTCTTCAAATATCTCTGCATTGCTTCCAAAGTTCGCAGAGTGGTCCAGCTGGCCAGAGAGGAGGTCCAGAACGGAAAGGTAACTTTTCTCCTGAAACGTGGATTACAGTTCAAACCGTCCTCTTCGGCTCAGGGGTTGTCCTGAATTCCTGATCAGGGGTCTCATTTATCAAACATTGCGTAGAATCCCCTGCGATGGACTGGCTCTCTCTGTCCAGGGTGTACCCCGCCTGGTTGCCCATTAACTGCTGGAGATAGGCACCAACCCCCCCGCGACCCTGCGTGGACAAGCGGGTTCAGAAAATGGATGGATGCGTAGAATCCTTACTAAAACGTATTTAAGCTCAGCTAACAAAATGTTCTTACACCCAGCAGGTGTGTGATCTATCAAACATGGAGTACGCACAGCTGCACGCAACCTCCGCTTCATAAATCAGAGACTAACGAGGATGGTTCTCAGCTGCATTTTAGTCGCATCCTGCCCTCACCACGCCCACTTACTGCCATAAATGGTCAATGCAAAATGCCTTGTGGACCTCATGCATATACATAAGCCGGCTGTTGCAGCGCTCCACCAATGACATGGCGACCGTAGATCAAGGCAGATCAAGGAAGCGCTATTTCACACAAGCAGAAGTTGAGGTACCTGTGGGTGAGGTGGAGAAATGAAAGGAAGTGCTTTTGCAAAACTAATAAGAGAAAATCCACGGAGTGGCTCAGCGTTGCTGAAGCCGTCAATGCTGACTTCTTCAGAGAGATCTGTGGCGGGTATTTAAAAATAGCTCGATCGGTATTTGTCCCCAGACTCCCAGGTGAAAGTCACGCGCGCTAACTAGTCACCCAAACACAGATCTCACCTGTACAGGTAGCCAGGGTGCATGATCAATCGGGTCACAGTGACGGGACACACACTGTCACAGACGCATGATGTTCTGTCTCAATCTGTCCCCCTGCTGATATTCTGCATTCTGCGCTTCAGTGTGTGTGTGTGTGTGTGTGTGTGTGTGTGTGTGTGTGTGTGTGTGTGTGTGTGTGTGTGTGTGTGTACATGTACATGTAAAAACGATAATGGTGCAGGATTTCATAATTGTATCTTCTCAGCAGCAGCACTGCAGGTGCTCTCCATGTCCATCATGTGTGTAAGCCAGGTCCTTAGTCAGCTTAAAGTTGTGCACATTTTTCTGCTAAGTTTTCTTTCATAAATCCCAAAGTTTGTGTGGAAAGTTGCTTACGCAGTTTTCCGACCCCGTTTTGTGCGTAAGCTAGCTTGATGAACGAGGCCCCTGGGCTGGAGATAATTTGTGAAGCGCCTTGGGGAGTTGTAGAACCCTAAGAAGGCGCCATTTACCATTAAAAAGCAAGAACAGACTGAGTAATGATTGAATACTCTTATCATAGCATTCTGACGTCAGGTGATGCAGCACCTTAACTTCTACCAAGAGCTCACTGGGCATCACCAAAACTAAAATCTGTTGAGCAACCTTGAATGTGAATCAAAGACATTTCTGTAAGAAGTCAAAGAATTAACGCCGTAGCAGATGTCAGTGTTTCGTTGTTGATAAAGTTTTAGTCGTCGGGCAGCTTCAGCAGATTAGTCTCAGACTAAAACTCGCTTCTTTACAGGAAACGATTCTTTAGACCACATCCATAAGAAGATGCAAATGATCAAAATGCTCCGAATAAAACTTTTTTTTTTATTTTCGGTAAACTGGGCGGATTTTATTTGATAATAATTATGATGAATAGAAAAGGTCAGAAGAAGTTGCTAATTATTACGTGTCTGTTCCCTGTGCAGTGTGTGGTGATCGGCCTCCAGTCCACTGGTGAAGCACGAACGCTGGAGGCCTTGGAGGAAGGAGGAGGAGAACTCAACGACTTTGTGTCAACAGCAAAGTACGAATCGGCTAAAAAGGCTCATCATAATCCTGCTGTTGGTATACATCACTGCAGCCACGGTGTTGTGTTGCAGGGGCGTGCTGCAGTCCTTGATCGAGAAGCACTTTCCAGCTCCAGACAGGCAGAAGCTCTACAGCCTGCTGGGCATCGACCTCTCTGCAAAGAAGACGCCCTCCCCCAGTGACGCTGCACCACAGCCTGACCAGAAGGGAAAGAAAAGAAAAGGTATTATAAACTAATTTAACGCCACTAAAACAACGGGACAGAACTCTGGGCCTGGAGGGTATTCAGGTGAGTAATGTGGACAGGTGCAAGTGAAACACGACCACTAATGAAGACGCACGCGTGCAGCATCAAAACTCAAGTCGTACGTTCTTTATTTGCACCTATTAAACTGCAGTAGGTACAGCAGTAGTTCAGGAGGTAGAGCGGGTTGTCCAGTAATCGGAAGGTTGCAGGTTCAATCCCCGCTCCAACCAGAGAATTCTGCTGCTGTGTCCTTGAGCAAGACCCCCCCGCCCGCCTGTTGCTGGTGGTCGGAGGGACCGGTGGCGCCTGTGCTCGGCAGCCTCGCCTCTGTCAGTGCGGCCCAAGGCAGCTGTGGCTACATCGTAGCTCACCCCCACCAGCGTGTGAATGGATGAATGATTGTGTTGTGAAGCGCCTTGGGGGGGGGTTGTAGAACCCTGGGAAGGCGCTATACAAACACAGGCCATTGATGTATTTCAAACCCTGAGTGACCTCTAGGTCCGTTGTGTTTTTTTTTCTTCTTCATTCCATTGCACTCCAGCTGTTGGCGCGCCCGCAGAGTGAACGACGTTCAGAGTTTATTCTTCTGATGTCCTCCTCTGTGATCCTACTGTAGGCTCAGATCTCAAAAAGCAGCAGCAGAGGAAGAAGCCTCGCAAGCACGGCGGTCTTTCCGGTACAAGTTCAGAGGAGAGCGAGTCCGAGGAGTCGGGTAAAGACAGCGACGACAGCTTCAAATCCGTCAGCTCAGCGGACGAAGACGATGATTTCAACCCGTTCAGAGACGAGTCCGACGACGACGAGGAAGACGGTGAGCCCGTGGAAACGGCTGGAAATAAAACGGCAGACTTTAGTCACGCAGCTAACATCCCGTCTTCCCCTTCTCAGACCCGTGGCTTATCAGGAAGGAGCCAAAGAAAAAGAAGGACAAGAAAAAGAAGAGGAGGAGGAGAAGTGTTGATCCTGATTCCATTCAGAGTGCCTTGTTAGCCTCCGGGCTGGGCTCCACCAGGCCTGGGTTCACAGCCTCCGTCAACACCCCCAGCACACCTGCCCCAGGTGAGCATGTTGCTTCCCACTGAAGCGAAGTTGCTATGATTTACTCCTCCTGGGATTAATAAGTCCTTTGTTGTTTGTTTTCAAGTCAAGACAGAGAGTCAGGACAGCTGTCTGACAAGTCAGGACTCGGTGGAACTCGCTCAGAAAATGAAGAAAGATCTACTGGAACAACTGGAGGAATTATCGGAACATTTACCGCCCAACACTTTGGATGAGCTAATAGATGAGCTGGGAGGGCCAGAAAATGTGGCTGAGGTAAGAAGATGTGAGAGCTGTGCATGTTTTTAAAGATGCATCTAGTTTTTGGTGTTTGGACTCGTGGTTTTGTGTTTCAGATGACCGGCCGCAAAGGTCGTGTGGTCAGTAACGATGACGGCACCATCACCTATGAAACTCGCTCTGAGCTGGACGTCCCAGTGGAAATCCTTAATCTGACAGAAAAGCAGAGATTCATGGATGGTGAGAAGGTAAAGACACAGTTAAAACGGGCGAACACCACGTAGAGTTGGATGCAATGGCCTTTTCTGTGCAAACACCTTTAGCCCAAATGACCTTAAAGAGCAAATTTGCAGGTTCATTTTTTTTCTGTTTCATATAAAATACGATTTGAAATGCTTATTGTGAAAATGTTGTTTTGGCAGTTTTTCGAGTAAAAAGAGCCTTTCTCAGCAGAGCTTCTAAAAGGCTCTTTTTCTTTTCTAAATCTGAACTCTGATGTCACCAAAGGGAGTTGGAAGCTCAGCTGCCTCAGCTCGGTGTGGAGAGTGGCTAGTTTTAGGGTAGTGAGGTCATGTGATCCAGTCAGTGTGTGTGTTTACTAGTTATGGGTTGTGTTCATGCTGATAAACTATAGTTAGTGAAGGCTGTACCAACTCCAGCCCGTCTGGACATCGAGTCCACAAGACTCCAGATGAGAGAAACAACGCCTCTCTCTTCGTGCCAGAGGGCGTTTTGTGCAGCTGAAAAGACGAGACTTCTGTAGCCCACATGGGTCGGTACCGGGACAGGGAGGCCCGCGCTGGGCTCCAGAGACCTGTGGTAGGGTTTAAAAAATTAAATGCAGATTTCTGGAGGTCAGATCACCATCAGAACCGGGTTAGAAGAAACCAAGCCCTCACAATGCGGCTCTAAAATTGGTCCCAACCCGGAAGTACCAAAGCTGCAGTTCCACCCTCATCCACTAGGGGCTGGTGTGAGAAGCGAGCAAATCCTCATTGACTCCCATGTTAAAAATACCAATTTCACAGCAGAAATAAACATGTTTACAGCCTGGTACCAGAACATGTTTTTGGTTTAAATGATCTAGTTTACACGTCATGACAACTCTGAGGGGGTGAATGTTTTTCTCACTCTTCTGTTTAAGTGTATTAAAAGCCTAAAATTCTGTATAATTAATGAGCATTAAAGGCCTCAGTAGAGCCTCGGTCTGGCCTGGAAACTGCTCCGGGATTTTGAGTCTCTGTGTTTGTGTATTTTTGGATATTATTTGTGCAATTGTTGGACAAAAAGACTTGCTGTGGCATTAATTGCACTAATAGAGCGTCCAAGGAGTCTCCACTTCATTTTTTTTGGTAAGTAAAATTATATTTATGTATTTTAGGTCACTGCCGAGCTGAGCTTAGATTTTAACATGTACTGTTTAACCATGAAATTTAAATGTAATAGGGTAAAACCCAGTGCATTTAACATAATGCTGCACTTTACAAAATGGGTTGAAATATAACATATTGGTGGAGCTGGGTTCCGACTATCAGCTTGTGGAGCTCTCGGGAGACCGATGTTTTCCACCCGTTCTCCCCTCCCCGCAGCTCGGTCCATCTCTGTCTGATCGCGGCTTCTGTCTGCTGCGCTGGCTGCCGGCTTGTGGAGCTCTCGGAGACCTCTGTGTTCCACCTGGTTTTACCCAGCGGTCAGCCCGGCGTATCTCTGACTCAGAAGCTCTGGTGTTGGGCACAGTTAACTCCGGTTGTAGCTATGTAGCTACCTCCGTTAGCTTAGCTCCCACCTCCGCGTTAGCTTTGGGTTAGCTTCAGGTTAGCTTGTAGCTAGTTCGACCGGGTGTCGTCAGTTGATCCCAGCCTTACAGCCCCACCCTCAGCTCCACCTCTCTTCCCTTTTGTGGAATTGTCTGGGCTTGACGGAACCTTTGACACGGTCAAAATGGTGGTGGTGGCCACCTCCCATTTTGGCACAAAAACGTGTTATTGGAGCCTGTGGAAATGAAGTGTCCAGTGTATATGTCGATGGATGAAACGTGCTGCTCAGCGGGCCAGTAGAGCTGGATTCTGGGTAACTTTCAATTCGCTCTTTAAACTCAGATCATCTGTGTCTCTGTGTCAGGGGCCGAGCAGTAAAACTCCTGGACAATGGTATAAAAAGAATATATTCTTAATTTATTTCCATAAATAATAAACAAAAATCAAGACAAAACGGGCCCAAAGGAAAAAATGGCCACGAAAATAACCTTAACTAAACGTAACAAACAAGACTGGTCCCAGAGCTGAGACACACGTGGGATTTATGGGCCATTCCCATCTGTACCGGGTCGGCCCGGGCCGGGTAGCCCCATCTTAGGTGTGTTCTTGCTGTGTCTTTGTAAATCCATGCTTTCGTTCTTTTTTAAACACAGAAACAGTTTTGTTTACCTGTTTGTAGCTACGGTTTCGCCGACAGCTGCCGGCTTCTTCAGGCTGACGCTGATGGTGGCGCGTCACTTCCTTCTCCGTTTATCTGCGGGCAGCAGAGGACGTTGTCGCCCTCTACTGCCCGCTCTCCCCTCTCCGACGATGCAGTCCCATGCGTGGTCCAGCGTGTAAACTCCGTCGTCCCTGTTCATGGTCCCACATCCACGTCTCCTTATCTCTATTGCTTCCTTGATCCATCTTTTGTATTTTTGTTGTTCAGTGGTTATGATCCGTGTGCTGTCCCAGTCCATTATATGGTTTTCTCTTAAGCAATGTTCTGTTACGGCTGACTTTTTTATTGTACTTTCTGCTTCTTCTTTTGCTGCTCTTGTGTGTTTACGATTTGCCTCTTTCTCGCACTCCTTTCTGTGTTCTATTGTCCGTGTATTGAGTTGGCGTCCGGTTTCTCCTATGTATGTTTTATTGCATATTTTGCATGGGATTTCGTAGATGACTCCACATTTTTGTCCAGCTGATATTTTGTCTTTTGGGTGTACTAATCTGTTTCTAACTGTTGTGTATGGCTTTGTTGGTGTGTTTATGTTGTGTTTTTTCATTGTTGCTCTTATTTTTTCCGTTATGCCTTTGATGTATGGTAGGGTTATCACTGGTTTTGGTTCTTGTCTTTCTGGGTTTCTGGTTCTTTTTTTGGGTTGTTCTTTGCTTTCTGTTTTTGTTTGTTGTTTTCCTTTGTTTATTGCCCATGTCGGGTATCTGCAGGTCTTTAAAGCGTGTTGTATGTGTTTGTCCTCTTGTTTACGGTCTCTCTCTTCTGTTATTATGTTTGCTCGGTGATATAATGTTATGATTACTGACATTTTGTGTATGGTGGGGGTTATATATCATAACACCAAGAATATATGGAACACCAAAAATACATAAACAAAACACCCCACTTAGACCAATAGTTGACAGCATAGGTACACCAACATACAACATGGCAAAAGATATCAGCAGAATCATCAGCCCGTTATTAGGAAATACAGACCAACACTGCAAAAATAGCATAGAATTGGCAAAAGAACTAAAGGAAATTACAATAGAAGACAACGACATACTCATCTCACATGACATCACATCTCTGTTCACAAAAACACCAACCCAAAAAACCATAGACATAGTAGTTAACAGAATCAGACAAGACAAAACTTTACAAAAAAGGACAAACCTCACAGCAGATGACATAGCACAACTGATAGGACTGGTAGCTAACTCCACTTACTTCACATACGACAACACAATATACAAACAACTGGAAGGCTTCGCCATGGGTAACCCGTTATCAGCCACCCTGTGCGAGTTTTTCATGGAAGACCTGGAACAAAAAGCCATAGCCACCGCCCCCCCAAACTGCAAAATAAAACTATGGAAACGCTACGTAGACGACATACTGGAAATCATACCAAAAGGTCAAACAGAAACACTAACACAACACTTAAACAATATTGACGACACGGGCAACATAAAATTCACTTATGAGTTAGAAACAGAAGGCAGCATAGCATTTATGGATATGAAAATCACCAGGCAGACCGACGGGACCCTAAACATAAACACATACAGGAAACCAACACACACAGACCAATATTTATTATGGACATCAGAACACCCCACCATACACAACATGTCAGTAATCATAACATTATATCACCGAGCAAACATAATAACAGAAGAGAGAGACCGTAAACAAGAGGACAAACACATACAACACGCTTTAAAGACCTGCGCATACCCGACATGGGCAATAAACAAAGGAAAACAACAAACAAAAACAGAAAGCAAAGAACAACCCAAAAAAAGAACCAGAAACCCAGAAAGACAAGAACCAAAACCAGTGATAACCCTACCATACATCAGAGGCATAACGGAAAAAATAAGAGCAACAATGAAAAAACACAACATAAACACACCAACAAAGCCATACATAACAGTTAGAAACAGATTAGTACACCCAAAAGACAAAATATCAGCTGGACAAAAATGTGGAGTCATCTACGAAATCCCATGCAAAATATGCAATAAAACATACACAGGAGAAACCGGACGCCAACTCAATACACGGACAATAGAACACAGAAAGGAGTGTGAGAAAGAGGCAAATCGTAAACACACAAGAGCAGCAAAAGAAGAAGCAGAAAGTACAATAAAAAAGTCAGCCGTAACAGATCATTGCTTAAGAGAAAACCATATAATGGACTGGGACAGCACACGGATCATAACCACTGAACAACAAAAATACAAAAGATGGATCAAGGAAGCAATAGAGATAAGGAGACGTGGATGTGGGACCATGAACAGGGACGACGGAGTTTACACGCTGGACCACGCATGGGACTGCATCGTCTGAGAGGGGAGAGCGGGCAGTAGAGGGCGACAACGTCCTCTGCTGCCCGCAGATAAACGGAGAAGGAAGTGACGCGCCACCATCAGCGTCAGCCTGAAGAAGCCGGTAGCTGTCGGCGAAACCGTAGCTACAAACAGGTAAACAAAACTGTTTCTGTGTTTAAAAAAGAACGAAAGCACGGGTAGCCCCAGTCGGCCCCATCCTGGCCCGGTTGATTCCACACATCCTTGCCTTAAGCCCATGTGGGCTGATTCTACCCACCAATCAGAGGCTTGCTCTAATGGAAGGTGTGAATTTGCTGTCAGCAGTGGGTGAGTTGGCCCTGGTCGGTCTGAAGCAGACCCCCTCCAGAAGAGGGCTGGGAATGAGCCTTGTTTGGCCCGGGAAAATACCAGGCCTCCCAGATATGTAAACAACCTACGCTACCCGGCCCGGGCCGACCCGGTACAGATGGGAATGGCCCATTATACACAAAGGCTAGCCTACAGACAACGAGGAGGGGAGAGACGGGGGACACCAAGACAAACAGTAAATAAACCTAGGAAACTAAATCAACAAAGTATAACTACCACAATAAAGTTAAACTAATACCTCTTAACAAAATCTGGTAAATTCAATCAGAGCTTCAGAACTTCTGGTGTCTGCTTTCTTCATGATCAAGTTCCCTGCTTCCAGCAGCCAGATGAAATATTCCACTTCCTGCCTGGAGTTACACCGGAAGTGTCCTCTCTCTGCCAGTTCGTCCAGTCTCAGCAGAATACAAATGAAACTAGTTAAAGATCAAATAAACTGTATGAAGTACTAAATGTGTGCACCCATTAATAAACATCTTAAAATATTGCAACAAAATGAAATAATAAACCAGCCTGTGGAAAACATATTTAAATAATACCAACACTGAGAAATGGCTGGAGGAACCCCCCCCCCCTGGAAACTCCATGGGCCAGCGGGACAGGTAGTCAGCCCAGGTATATGATGGATCTCAAACTGGAAGGGTTGCATCGCCAGGTACCAGCGAGTTATTCTGCTGTTCGAGTCCTTCATCCTCTCAAGCCACTGGGAGAAATATTTAAATAATACCAACACTGAGAAATGGCTGGAGGAGCCTCAGCTCTGTGAACCACCCATAGCAATGTGCAGCAGATGCGTAGTTGCCATGGTGAACTGGCAGTGTGAAATAACCTCAGCCACCGCTTTTCAGAGATTTTATGTTTATGTGAAAGTTTGGCTTTGCTAGCATTTGTACAGAGAGTGTTCAAAAAGTTTAATTATAACGTTTGTCTTAAACCAGAACATCGCCATCATCTCAGAGGCTGCCAGCTCAGGAATATCGCTGCAGGCCGATCGACGAGTGAAGAACCAGCGGCGGAGAGTTCACATGACGCTGGAGCTGCCGTGGAGCGCTGACAGAGCCATTCAGCAGTTTGGTCCGTGGATTTTTGTTTTCCAGGCCTGATCTCACTTTGAAAAAGTTTAAAAGTGTGCTTAAGTAGTAGTTGCTCTCCTGCAGGGCGAACGCATCGATCAAACCAGGTCACAGCTCCAGAGTACGTGTTCCTCATATCAGAGCTCGCAGGAGAACAAAGATTTGCATCTATTGTTGCCAAAAGGCTGGAGAGCCTGGTAGGTAACTCTTAATTATTTAAATGTTCTGGAGAAAGGATGGAGTCATCGGTTACTGTTGTCCTCGCAGGGCGCTCTCACTCACGGAGACAGGCGGGCCACAGAAACGCGAGATCTCAGCAGGTTCAACTTTGACAACAAAGTATGCATGTCGGCCATTTTTACGGACGAGAACGTCTTTGTGCTGGTTTCTCACCCGTGTCCTGTTCTCCTGCAGTATGGCAGAAATGCTCTGGAAATTGTGATGAAGTCTATTGTGAAGCTGGATGCGCCGCTGGTGTCTCCGCCCTCTGACTTCAGAGGGGATTTCTTCAAAGGTCTGAGTCGCTTCCTTCACAGGCTTCATGTCCCATTCACCATATAAATATTAGCCGGTTCATTGTATTATTTTTTCTGTAAGTCGACCCGTTTCTTCCGAGTCCTCATCCCTTGTTTGTTGTGCAGAAATCCAGGGCGGGTTGATAGGAGTGGGCCTCATAAATGTGGAGGACAAATGTGGCGTCCTGTCACTGGACAAAGGTGAATTCTTACTGGATTAGAACTAATTTACGTGTGGCGTCAGGAATGATTTAATAATCGCTTTATCCTCTTTGCAGACTACAACAACATCGGGAAGTTCCTGAACCGTATTTTGGGGATGGAGGTCCAGCAGCAGAACGCCTTGTTCCAGTACTTTTCCGACACACTGGCAGCAGTGATCCAGGAAGCCAAGAAGAACGGCAGATATGACATGGGCATCCTCGGTGAGTTCTCCCTGATGGCCCCATTATGAGGCTGCATTTCCCCTTTGACCTTTCACGTGCCGGACTAATGTCCTCCGTCTAATGCCAGACCTCGGCTCTGGTGACGAGAAGGTGAAGAAAGTTGACTGCAGGAAATTCCTAACGCCGGGATACACCACATCAGGACATGTGGAACTCTACACTGTAAGTCCCGCTTTTCCCTCGTTTCCTTCGTTCAGCTGTAACGTCAGCTGATGCTGTTGTTGTTTCCCAGGTTGGTGTGGAGAGAGGAATGTCTTGGGAAGAAGCCACGCATGCCTGGGCAGAGCAGAACGGACCGGATGATGGCTTCTATGTGCAGGTAGAAGAGGGACGTCTTTATTTTTAGCCTGGAGTGTCCTCTCATTTAAAGGGAACAAATGATGCAAAACACCTTTTGCACCAACATGTGGCTCTCTACTCCCTCTATAAACACTCAAGCATGAAAGTGACTAAGTGTTCTAGGCGTGTTTCTGCTATCGGAACTTCAGGGAAATTTTACCAGAACTTTGCGTGTCCCCACTTGGCTGGGCCGGCTGAACGGGCCGTCGTCAGGAACCTTTTAGTACCTGAACAGTGGCTAGGTGCTCAGAAAGGCCCGGATGAATGGATCGAATTGCCGTATATTTGACAGAATAAAACTTTTAATGTTTCTGTGGATCCTTACCTAAGCCTAACCCTAAGCCACTGCCAAAACGGTCCTAGTGTTTCTCCTGTGAACCTACAGAAAGCCAACAGGAACCTTTTTTCTTTTGGGGTTTTCCCTTATTTTGTCTTCATTTTAACGTCATCCGTCTGGATAAAACAACAACAGAGTGTGTTTAGTAAACAGGGAGGAGGAAGTGTCTGCGGGTTTTAGAAACTGGTTTTCAGGGATTAATAACTGAGCTGCTTGAGTTTTCAGTTTCTATGAAGCTACTAAGTTCTAGCATGAAGACTTGAAATCGGCTCTACTTTAGAGGATAAAGTATGGCTGGAGCAGACTGGTCCTCAGCACTTCAATAGGTGCAAAACAAACTTTAACTCATTCACTGCCAGCGTTTCTCATCGTTTTTACTGTTTTTTTAAGAGTGACAGAACGTGCGCTAGGATGATGTCGATGCAAAAAAAACCAAAGCAAAGCGGAGACTCACCTCTTACATCAGGAAGAATCCGCGCGTTTCGAGCGTTATCCGTTCTTTCATAATCCGTTGTTGAATTGTGATCGGCAGAAGCTTTTCCGGTTCGTGCCTCACTTTTTTTACAGCAGCGGCCCAAAACGATCTCCTAACACATGGATGTTCTGCTTCCTGGTCACGTGACGTGTGACGTACGCGGATGAAGAGCCGCTTTAGAGCTGAGATGTTTGTTCTTACGGTGCGGGGGCTCGTCCGACGCCCACACAGTAAAAACATGCAAATGACGACTTTAGTCAAACAGGAAGTGGGAGTTGAGTAAGAATCTGGTAGGGGGTGACTTGCTCTTTAAAGCGCTGAGGACCAGTTTGCTCCAGCAGTACTTTATCCTCTACATTTGATGTCCCGTGGGCTATCGGAGCACCTGATGTCCTCTGGATGATGCGCGGCGTGCTCTTCTATTACTCGGCTTCACTTTTGTTGGTGGCTTTTAAACCCCTGCGCGTTTTGTTGTCGTTCAGGTTTCGTAGAAAGTCCTTCCTGCTAAACGTGTGGGTTGTCTCGACTTTTCTGATCGTTTCTCGTGAATCCTTTTGTGTTTGCTAAAATTAGGAAGCTGGTTTTTAATGAGTGTCTTACATGTTAGTAAAACATTCATCCAGATCTTTAAAAACATTTTAGCAATAATAAAAGCTCCCTCAAAACTCAGTAGGTGTGTTTCCATTAGCAGAACTTCAGGCTAGATTTATAGGAACCCCCTGACTGGGCCAGCCGAACAACCGTTTTCCAGAACTTTCTGAGTACCTGATCAGAGGTAGGTACTCGGGCACGACCCAGTGGAGCAGCCGAGTGGAACCTTGTTAGCTCGGTAGGAAATGGCATCAGCAGACGTCCAAAACAACCGGCAGCAGCGGTGAAGCAGAAAGGAAGCAAAAGAAAATGAGCACCATCACGCTTAAAATGTAGCTCCTTACACTGCAAAACAGCGAAACTCCCCCACAGCAACAAACGGGGTTTTGTTGTCTCACAGAGCATTGGAAAAAACGGAGCTGCTTCTGGTCTTTGAACGCCACATTTTGCATCACAGCAGCTCTTGTCCTCTGAATGGATGAAATCATGATCTACTTGGATAGAATACGTGCTTCTGATGTTATTCGTGTTACTGTGGACGCTTTTTGGTGCTGATCAGTGACGTCACTTACTGCCAAACGTGTGCTGACGTTGCGATATGCTGACCTCTGTGCAAAGTTCTACGGGTGACTGTTAAAAAACAAACGGCAGCACGCAGAACTCACGAGGCAACGTTTTACGTGATGTTTATTTGTTGCTGTGAGTAATAAGACAGAAAAAGCCACGCCTGAATAAGTTTAGGAAGCCCACTAAGAATCATAATAAAATCATTTAAAATAAATACCATACACAGTTGAGGAAACGTTGGTTTAATCAGAATCAGAAGAATCAGAATCAGAAAAGGTTTATTGCCATTGTCAGTGAACAAACAATTCACAAACTAGGAACTTGCTTCGGTTCTAACGTGCTACATATAACATGAATAATATAATTAAAAAATAGAATAAAGTAGAATAAAATATAATAAAGTAGCATAAAACTTTGCTATAAAAAATGGCAGGTAGAGGTAACATGGCCGATAACGTGACGTTGTGTCGAGTACAGAAGACCAGCATGGTTGTGTGTTTATAAGCTGTTCACAAGTCTAACGGCAGATGGAAAGAAGCTGTTCTTATGGCGAGAGGTTCTGGTCTGGATGGACCGTAACCTCCTGCCTGAGGGGAGTGGCTCAAAAAGTCTGTGACCCGGGTGAGAAGGGTCAGCTGCTATCCGACCTGCACGCCCCCGAGTTCTGGAGATGTACAGGTCCTGGAGAGATGGAAGGCTGCAGCCAATCACCTTCTCAGCAGAGCGCACAATGCGCTGCAGTCTATGTTTGTCCCTCACTGTGGCTCCAGCGTACCACACAGCGATGGAGGAGGTGAGGATGGACTCAATGATGGCCGTGTAAAACTGCACCATCATCTGGGCCGGCAGCTTGGCCTTTTTCAACTGCCGCAGAAAGTACATCCTCTGCTGGGCCTTTGTGATCAGGGAGCTGATGGATGGCTCCCACCTAAGGTCATGTGTGATGCTGGTTCCGAGGAAGCGGAAGGAGTCCACAGTGGTGACGGGGGTGTCCGTCAGGACGAGGGGGAGAGACGGGGCTGTGACTTTCCTGAAGTCCACAATCATCTCCACTGTCTTCTGAGCATTGAGCTCCAGGTTGTTGCTGCTGCACCAGTACACCAGCCGTTCCACCTCCCTCCTGTAGGCGGACTCATCACCGTCAGAGATGAGCCCAACGAGGGTGGTGTCGTCCGCAAACGTGATCAGTTTAACGGAGTCATGGCTCGAGGTGCAGCAGTTTGTGTACAGGGAGAAGAGCAGAGGAGACAGTACACAGCCCTGTGGAGATCCTGTGCTAATTAAGTACCTGATATGAAGCGGTCGCTGCATAAGTGAAAACCTTTACTCTCGGGGTCCCACAGTTTCATTTTAGCCCGGTCACTAGCGCGTTTTATTACAATGATCCAACGTTTGCGGCACTCCGGATCTTGGGGAATACTGTAGATGGCTCATTCCTTATGTCGTCCGTGTCTGTTCTGCATCCTGGGGCACAACAGGAATCTACCATATTTCCCGTCTGATTGAGTTTTCTGACAATAACAACTAGTCCAGCTGCGGGCTTCTGCCTGCCAATATGGCGCCGTTTCGATCTGAACTGTTGCTTGCCGGGAGAAGTGACGTCAACTCCCGGAGCTCTTTATCACTTATTTTCTATTTCTGGACTGCTTCGGTTGCATTTGAGTCTGTGTGTTACGCACCAATCAGAGATCTCCTAAGCGCATAATGGCGGTGCTGTAGATGGACATTTAGGGGATTAATTTCCAGGAGGATATACACCAAAGCCATGTATGAACGTCACATGATTCAAGTTGAATAACAATAACATACGTGGGAGAGCTCAAGTGGTTGGTGTTCTGTCTTATTTGGCAGGGAATGATAAATGGCCTGTATTTGATATAGCGCCTTCTAGAGTCCTGGAACCCCCCAAGGTGCTTTACAACACAATCAGTCATTCATCCATTCACACACTGGTGAGGATGAGCTACAATGTAGCCACAGCTGCCCTGGGGCGCACTGACAGAGGCGAGGCTGCCGAGCACTGGCGCCACCGGTCCCTCCGACCACCACCAGCAGGCAACGTGGGTTAAGTGTCTTGCCCAAGGACACAACGACAGCGACAGACTGAGCGGGGCTCGAACCTGCAACCTTCCGATTACGGGGCGAGCTCTTAACTCCTGTGCCACCGTCGCAGGAAGGTTGTATGGAAGCCCTTTAGTGCCGAGAGAGGGTGATCCTATATTTAAATATGTTGTGTTCAAGGGTGTTCTTTCAGGGGACCCCCTATATCAGCAATCCCTCTCCTGGACTCAAGTTAGGGGCTGATTGTTATAACATCATATCTCCCGGTCTGTCCCGTCCCCCCCCCCCAGAATTTACCCTGGAGTTCCAGTAATGGAAACACAGATGTTGTCTTTTTTAGATTCACCTTGGAGTCATTTATAAATCTTTCAGTGTGACAAATTCAAAGTGTTAAGCAGAAGAAAATGGCTTTTATTGTTGTGGTGAGGAGCTGTTGGCATGCTGCTAACCAGAGTGGGTTAGGGTTCTGGTCCAAAAGCAGCTGTGTGACCTGTGTGTGTGTGTGTGTGTGTGTGTGTGTGTGTGTGTGTGTATGCGTGCATGTGTGTGTGTGTGTGTGTGTGTGTATGCGTGCGTGTGTGTGCGTGCGTGCGTGCGTGCGTTCGTGTTCAGATGAGGAACAACAGGAAAACAGCCATTCTGGTCAAAGAGGTGAACACTAAGAAGAGGCTGTTCCTGGTGTACAGGCCCAACACCGGCAGACAAGTGAAACTGGAAACGTACGCAGACATCAAGAAGAAGTTCAAAAAGGTTGGATGTTTCTTTGGTTTCTGGCTGATGGTGACAAAGTAATGCACGCTGTTTGTTGTAAAACATCTGTTGTGTTTCTAACCCGTTAGGTGTTGTCAGAAGATGCCAAGCAGCACTGGACGGACCAGTACAAGTCCTCAGCAAACATCTGCTCTCACGCATACTGGTATGTTACCCTTGGACGTGCATCAGTTGTGCCAGCAAGCACAGGTTCTGTCGGTTGCTGTGGGTAACTCGTGTTTGTTGGGATCATAGGCGCGGGAACTGTAAGAAGGCTTCGGTGGGGCTCCAGTGTGAGGTGGGGCTCCGCTGCAGGACGTACTACGTTCTGTGTGGCTCAGTGCTCAGCGTGTGGAACGAGCTGGAAGAAGTGCTTTCCCCGGTCAGCGGAACCAACGTGAAGGTGCAGATAGTCCGCCTCCGAACAGAAGATGGACAGAGAATAGTTGGTGAGTGGAAGCGAGGGTTAGGTCATGTGTCTGTGTGAAAGTAGTCACAACCGGCTTTTCACCAAAGGTTTTCAGACTAACCTGCTGTTTCTCACAGGGCTGATCATTCCAGCAAACTGCGTCTCTCCACTGATTAACAAGCTCTCCACTTCGGACCAGAGCCAGCAGCTGGCTGTGCAGGAGCAGCAGAAGAGGCAGCAGCTTCACCCTCAAAGCCTCAGCCATGCACCCAACACATAGATCGGGTGGTGTCTCCTCTCCTGTCCCGTCTCTGTCCCTGACCTGCATGTCTCAGAGCCGCGGCTGCTCACCCTCCACCAAACCTCCCCGAAGCCTGAGGCGCCGAGCCGTGGTGACTGTTGGATGCCAAACAGAGACTCCGAACATCGCTGCTCGTACGCAGACACCCGGCATTCAGCGCGAGCGTGTAGATCTCCGCTGGTTAGTCCAGCTTTCTGGGTCCAAGCTAATGGTGGAAGAACCAGAGGAGCTTCTTTGGCTGAAGTAAAGTCCTGTGTTGATGTTTGACTCATGGCATCTGTCACTAGGAAATACAGGATTAATCGTTCGAAATATTCCAACATTCTGTTCATAATCAGATCAAAGCACCGTCGGTATTCCAAACAGTTACATCTGTCCAGTTAATTTGGTTTTGTTTCACACACGGGTCTGAAGATCATCACCTGCTGGTTTTGTTTTGTTTCTCAATCCCAACACAAGCAGCCAGAGCGGGTCCAGAATGCCTTTGTGTTAGTAGAGCAGTCAGGAGCCCGGTGAAGCCCTGAAGATGTTCGTCACACACGTCTGCGGGGAAGACCAACTCAAGTGATGCAGAAGGGATTCGCTGCAGCAGTGGCTCGGTTTATTATTGATAGGAGATGTGGCAGCATGTAATGAGTTTGAAGCTTAATGTTTGCTAAAAAGGATTTTCTTTGTCCAGATTTTGTATATTTCTAGTTTTCTGTTGTAGATATTTTCTTCCACTAGATGCTCAAAAGGAAAAGCTGCAGGTTTTTGACAATTCAGTTAAAACTCATTATGAGGTCTGTGTTATAAATCCGTTAAATGTTATTTAACATTCTAATAACCGCTGATTTTGTGTTGCTGCACTCCCGGTCTTTCCAAAAGATGCCCCCCCTCCCCCATTTGACCCGAGTTTGAGTTTATAGCAGTTGGATTTTCATTCATGTAGTTGATGAAATGATCTTTATTTGCTTCCAGAGCAGTCTGACCTGACGGCTTCACACCGTTTTTGTTGAGTCTGCTCAGGGGAGGCGCTCGTACCCAGAGCTCCAAAAAGCATGACCAGAGTCTTCAGTTTCAGTGATGTTTCGCTGCGTTCAGCTGGACTTGCAGCTTGTTTTCTGTGTACATATTTCAAACGGGTGTCTCCTTTCTTTAGGTCCTGTTGTAATTAAATCTTTCTGTGGTAAAGTGTGACCCTTTTGCCCCCTCACTTCTACATCTCACTAGGTCTGAAGACTGGCTGTTAAACTCAGGATGCGTTTTTGTGGGGCAGGTTTCTCGAACATACCCCGATCCTCTGGATTAGCTGGCGGTGGGTCTGCATCCACGTCTGCTTGACCGACGATGCATTTAAAAACAGACCTTTGTATTATTTGTACAGTTTGGAATTCTTCACACGGTGGATCTCAGTCTCTGGAAAGCACTGGGGGAGCTGCTCCTGAATCGCAGCTTACGTTTTAACTTGATTGTGCACCTTTTAAAAGCGGACGCCTCGCGCTTTTGTCATGTACACGAACTGCAGTGTGTGCAGGTTGTTTTTGAATGCTGTTGTAAGGGGAAGGGTCGCTTAAGATTCTCTGGAAACATCAGAAGGACTTTCTCCCACCTAAATCATCGCTGGAGTTGCACTAGTGACAAGACTTGTACTGACTCACCAGTACCTGTGCAAGAAGGAGTGCATTCTCAATAAACCCTGTTGGTTTTTGTACAAACTAGAAAATAAACACCAAATATAAAACATTAGTTATTGACTATATTTCATAATTTGATGGTTTAACTTAAATTTTTTTTTGTAGCTACTTTCAGGTTTATGTATTTTCATTTTTAAATTGTGTCCTTATAGAGGTTTAGACTTAAAAAATTCTACAACTAATGCTAAAATAGCATTAAAGTATGTATAAATATATATAATACTAGTGGCTGGTTTATTGGAAAATGTGCATTACACAGAGAGTGTACAATTGTCCAAAAAGCCACTACAAGTACTTTTTAATAGTTTCTGTATAAACTTATACAAATGAAAATAGCCTTTTATTTTGTGGATTACCTTTGCCTATTTTTACTTCAGCGGTTTGTGATTACGCTTAGTTTGTAAGTTGCCAGCGATGATGCTCCATAAAAACGTGCTCCAGCCTCGGGTCAGCGATTGTGGGGGCCCCTGCCCTACTGGGGTCAGGGGTCACGACACTGGGACTAACACTGTCCAACCACGTGGCCTGATGGGGGGAAAAAGGGATCCCTGAAAAGACTAGTTTTAAAAAGAAGACGAGCACATGGGTCACCAGAACAGCTCCTGCCTTCTGCTTTGATTTTTGGTTTAAAACATCCGCGAATAAAACGATGGAAGTTCCCACACAAAACAAATTAGGTAATTTAATTTCTTTATTTTCTTTCATAATTTTTTTAAGTGTTGTAAATAAAACTCGCTCATTTGTTTGACTTAACGCAAACTAAGCATCTCCAAACATCTGCATCAAGTTTCTTGTTATGATGTAAAAACTCATTATTTTCTTTTAATCTGAAAAATAAAATTTCAAAGTTAACATAAAAACCTTCAAAAGTTGATTCTTCTGTAAGTGTTAAAAGTCCGTGGGCCGGAGTTAACTTTCTTACATAAAATCAGGCTAAATGTGTGTAAAAGCGGCTGATTTTCACGCCTTCTTGGTGAAAACCGTGTTTTAAGTGTTTTTCCTGCTGAGCCGCAGTGGATGGTAGAAACTCGGTGGGTGTCAATATAAAGTGACGGCCATATTTGCCGGTGCCGCTGTTGTAAACAAAAAGTGAGAGACAGACGCTTCACTGAATTTCGGGTCATTTTTATTTCTTTAATTTACAATGTCTCTGGGAATGTCTTATAAACCCAATGCCCATCAGCACATTCCGGGAACTTCTGGGAACCAGGGTAAGGCGAAACCGTGGGAGAAAATCCAAGCATCCGCCTGTTAAATCGAGTGTTAAATTCGGGGTCTCGGAGAATACCTGGAGAAGACCGTGTCTGTAGTTTTTGTCCAGTTATATATATAGGGTCAGATCCTGGGAGCTAGGCTAATTCATATCCGCCATTATTACTAATGTAAAAGAGCGCCATCCGGGAGCCGCGGCGGCCGAGAAACACGGTGGGGATGAGAAACGAGGCGGCGGCGGTTCCGAAAATGGGTTTCTCCGTCGTCCGGGGCCGCGGTCCCGCCGGGGGGTTGCCGTTACACGGTGACAAAAATGTATCACTTATGTCTTCTTGAGCCAGCCTTGTTCTGTTCCCTCCATGATGCTCCTCGGTCGGAGCTGCCGATTGATCTGCCTCTGAGAATTTTACGTCCCATCGAGGACACCTGGTGTTGGACACGGGTACTGCAGCTAAACAAAGAGGCAGCGCGGCGCTGTGTGAGAGGGTTAATAACGTGTTCACAAACGGGTTTTACATGAAATTAGCATCACTGGCTTACAATAGAACAATCAACGTGAGATTCTTTAAACGCGTTTTTAAAAAGAGTTTTAGTATATCAATATATTGTTGATGTCACTACAGTTCCAGGTGTAGTGAAGGCAGAAAACATGTCTAACAAAAGAAAAGCCCTCTGTTTTATTTTACGAACTTTGTGTTTTCACTCACTCATTTTCTGGCTCTGTTTGGGAGTGATGAGCATCAGGAGTGAGTTTATCAGGGGGACAGCTCATGTTAGGTCAGCGGGCTCCTGGAGGGCTCCCATATCCAGCATGTTTTACTTGTTTCCCCGCTCCAAAGAACCTGAATCAGTGGTTGAATTACTAAGTGCTGCAGAAGCATGTTAGTCACATAGTGTTGGGACGAATAAATGACTAAAACATAGGAGATCTGGAGGACCAGGGTTGCAGAACACTGTTTTGGAGATGAAGTCAGAGAGACCAGACTTAGAGGTCCAGAGGAAACATTACGTAGGTAGAAGGATGCCGAGGGTGGAGTCAGCAGGCAGGAGGTTGAGGGGGGATTCAGTGAAAGAGGACATAACATTAGTTGGTGTGAGGGTAGAGGATGTGGAAGACAGGACTAGAAGGAGACAGATGACTGGCTGTAGAGGGACATGCCCAAAGCCAAAGAAGAAGACTCCTTTTCTGTGCCGCCTCATCCTCTATAGGGTCTCGGGGAACTGGTGTCTCAGCATTCTGCGGACGAGTGGTCACCCTAGACAAGTCTCCAGTCCCTCACAGGAACACTGAGACAAGCAACCACTCTGACTCACACCAGAGACAGCCAGTTACACCCAAAGACACGCTTTTGGTTGGTGGGAGGATATTTACTTTAGAATTGCTTCAGTTTGAAATCTTTGGTGGTTCAATCCTGACTTCTCCCACATGTGGAAATGTCCTTGGGCAAGACTCTGAATCCCATGTGTGTGTGTGTGTGTGTGTGTGTGTGTGTGTGTGTGTGTGTGTGTGTGTGTGTGTGTGTGTGTGTGTAAAGCGCTTTAACTGGTCATTAGGCTATAAAAATGTTGTATAAATATTTTCCTCCTACTGTTTATGAAAGGATATTGAGAACAATGCTACACAGAATTGGGGAAACATTCAGTTTTATTCGTTGTCCTCGCTCCTCCATTCTGTCACCACAGCATTCCCAACACTTGCTGTGAGTTTTAGCGTTTCAGAACCTCTTAACTGGGCGTGGACATCAACGGCAGATCGCTGCAACGACGTTGCAATAGCGACAAATTAGCCATATATTGAATATCTATGTTTATTTGAACTGATGTGGATTTTTTATTTGTTCTCCATACAGTTGGGAACCTTCCTTCTCCGTCGGCAGCTAACCTGGCCACGTTGCAGTCCTACAGGCCCATTCTGAGCGACTATGGACCTCCATCTCTGGGATTCTCACAGGTGACTGCTGCCATTGGCCAAAAGAAGTTTTATTTAAATTTTAGTGTACTAGAGGTACAGTGTAGTCTAACTTAAACAAATTATACAAGAAACTCCACATCCAAATATCAACCATCTGCCAACACATAATCGGTTATTAGGGGCTCGACACACGGGAGGCGACAAACGACCGTGATCAGCGAAATTTGTCGCCGTCGCTTTTATTACCTGTCACATGGGAGGCGATCCGCGGTAGCGGCCAGCGGCAAAGCCGTCTACGCGTTCTGTTCCACGGCGAAATCGAAACTTCCGTTGTTTTGATTGGCTGTGTCAGGTTGGAGGGAATTACGGTTATTTAAGCGGTTCAGAGTTAATAAAGTGGTAGATATGATGTTTCACAAGGTGCTGCTAGAGTTATGTGAAATCTTACTTCTGATTTTACTATAAAACATAATAATAATCAACTTCTCCTCCATGTTTGCTCGGAGATGTACGGAGCATCCTGTCCGCTCATTGGTCAGTGAATGAAACCTCCGTTGATTGGTCCTCATCCGAGCGACAGCGATGAAAAGTTGAAAATGTTTAAACTTTCTGGGATCGCGTCGCTGGGTCGTCCGTGCACGACACGTGCACGAGTGCAAAGTTTCACACGCACGTTTTTCGCGTTTCGCTTGGTAGGAGGGAGACCCGCGATTATCGCTTTGTCACGCATGTCTCATTGAAAATTAATGGAGGCGAGGCGACGTCGCCTCCCATGTGTCGAGCCCATTATCCAAACTAAACAGTCAGATGTCACTACTTGCCATCAGCTTACATAAAGCCAACAAATGTCCGCTTTGTCAAGCTACCCTCAACATTGGCAGTCAACTTCCGGTTCAGAATGATAAAAGCCCTCTTATTTTCCCGATTGAAATGGGTACTTCTAATAGCGTTAGCTTAGCTTAAAATACTCTGAACTAGGGCTGAACGATTTTGTAAAATAATCTAATTGCGATTTTTTTCTTCAATATTGCAATTGCAGTTTAATTAACAATTATTTTCTCAAGGGGCTTTTCTCATTTTTCAACTAACGGAAGCAAAAACAAAAAATAATCTATGTAACTTGTACTGAATATAAACAAGTTTATGTATCTACATATTTATCTACATATCATATCAACAAGTTTATTTGTCTACATCAGGGATTCCCAGTGTGCTGCGCGCTCCCCTGGGGGTGCGCGAGCTGCCGCTAGGGGGTGTACAAGGTGAAAAGTGTAATGGCTGCCGAGCTCAGAGAAGTCTGTCAAAAGTCACCATTAGCGTTGCCAGAAACTCATTTGTGGGTGGGCCTAAGAAAACGTAAGTGGGCCCAATAAATGCAATTGAAAACAAGTATATTTTTGCGCGCGTGTGTGTGTCCTCCACATGTTCACTAGCTTCATAATAACAATGCGCCGAACTTCAGCACTCTGGCCTGCGCACGCCGATATGGTCCGTATTTGATCATTTTTAACGGTGTTGGAGGAATCTGAAGGTGGCGAGTCATTCTGGCAGATTGTAATTAACACCTGTCTCATGCAGGTGTTCTGACATTGTAAACCTCACAAACAGAACAGTGTGGATGTAACAAAATAAATCAAGAAATTATTCTTTTAACAGCGCACTGAAGATCTGAAATTCAGAGCGCGTCTGTCAGTCAGACGTGTTCCAGCGGAACCACGGCTCACGGGTGCACAAGCGCATCTGGGCTGGGCAGAAGTAATTTTACAACATTGGTTTAAATAGCGCCAAATAACGAGACGCGGTCACTGGAGCGGCTCACGGAGCTGTGGCGCGCGCGCGCGCACACACACACACACGAACTCCGGCGCTGTGCCGTCAGACTGAATGCAGAGATGAGCGCTGCCTCCACTGTGATAAAAAGTTTTAAGAGGTTTTATAACAACATTTTTAATTCCAGGTCAAATTAAGATATTAGCTTCTATTTTGGGATGACGTATATCGGGTCCGCTCCAGCCAGTGACTCCGAACCTGCAGCATTTGTTGTTCCAGTCCGCGTGGCAGCTGATCGCAGATTCAGCCACACCAGAAAACAGCAATAAGTCGGTCTGAGGCAAAAGTGAACCTCATTGTTAGCTTTCCATATTTTCCCCTATTGACATTTGATTACGCACAACTAGGTGATCAGCTCAGGTTTACGCAGAGCAGAAGGAAGGAGAGCGCTCTGGTCGCACAGGTTAAACGTTTCTACTTTAAAGAGCAAGTCAACCCCTACCAGATTCTAACTCAACTCCCACTTCATGTTTGAAAAATGCAACAAATGCTGTTGCCTGGCAGACCGAGAGGGCGGAGCTGCTAACAAATACACACACACACAGGCTCACGACAGCATTGTGACATCATAATATACCAGTTTACATCATAGCATACTTCTTAGCCAATAGCAGTGGCAGATTTAAATTAAAATACAGTGCAGAGTTTTTACCTGACAACGGCACAACACTGCCAGTTTTAGGCAGAATATTTAAATTTTAACTAAGATGCACTGAAGCGCTAAATTATTGACAAAACGTGTCTGCAGCATGATTAGACACTCGTTCATTTAGTTTATCAGCAAAAAAAAAAATATTTGGGGGTGACTTGCTCTTTAAGAAAACCATTAAATTGCATTTTTGATGTGCTACCTGGGCACTCTAAATATTTCTTTAAAATTAAATCAAAGGAAATAAATGGTATCGAATGTTTATTAATTACTATTTAAAAAATGAAAGTGATGATCAGATTTTTAACCCTGTCTGTTTAGCTTGACGTCTGAGATATATGTATGTATATATATATATATATATATATATATATATATATATATATATATATATATATATATATCCATGCCCTGATGTGGGGGCTGGGGGGTGCGTTGACATGGTCGGGACGAAGGGGGTGCGCGGCTAAATAAGTTTGGGAACCACTGGTCTACATAAACACTCACAAGTAAAAACCAAATTTTGTATTTTAAGGTGCAATGCTTTGCAGCCAGGAGCACATCCATTGAAAGACCATAGGTGTTAGCATCAATTGTGAAGATTGATTTGCAGGAAGTGTGTCCCATTATTAGTTTTTGACGTTTTGTCCATGCAGAGCTTCCGTAGTTCAATTTCGTTCATAGCTGCTAGCCAGTGAAGTCTCTCACAGTTTTCTAGCCTTACTAAAATATCTGTCTGTACTTATTTGATTAATAACAGTTTTTACTTTTTATTAGACTCCAAATGTAATAATTTGGCACGCTCCTAATTCGTAATTTGTAAGAATGTAATCGGCGATATTAGCATTAGCATCCCTATGGGTCTTTCAGTGTATATTAGCATTGTGCTAACCACTCACTGCCAGTCAAATTGCAGCCTTTGCGATTTGAAAATCTCCTCTTGTCACATCGCAATTTATTTGCATATGCAATTAATCGTTCAACCCTACTCTGAACTAACTCACATTCCCGCACCGTAACAATGCCACCTAAGATGTACTTATTTACATTCGCATATAAAGCACATTTATTCTTCCTCGTATGACCAAGACGCTAGCGACCAGTCACGAAGGGAGGTACACGAACAACGTTCTCGTCACAGGAAATACAGAACAAATCTGATAAACCTAAATTAACCCAATGGTGACAAGCACTTACCGTTCATCCACGCACACACTTAACATCCCGGTGCTGCTCCTCGGGCAGCAACATACTGCAGAGAGGAACCCAGAACATAAACCTGAAGCTACATGAACCTAAAGAGATGCACGTATAAAGGCTTATATATCTAAGCATGCGTCCGGTCACTTCAAAATAAAGTAACAAGGGAAGATTGGTCGCAAAACTCAAGACTTTGAGGGCTTTGCTACAGTTAGAGATGGTAGAAAAGAGATTGCTAACATTTTGAGTGGGTGAGGTTAACCAGTCTTTCCATTGTAGGGCTTTGTGCTATTAATCAGTAGCCTAGTGAACTAGACCAAATTCTTGCTTTGCAAAGTTTGGTCTAGGCACGCTCCACTGGAACCTCAGCAGCTCCTACCAGGACTCTGGCTAGCCAATCACAGCTCTCTAGAGGGGTTTCAAACACATAAAGAGCTGTGATTGGTCCATAATGGTGGGCCAGTCATAGTGCTCTATCTGCTTAGTGAATAAATCACAGAGCTTTATCCGCTTTGTGGGCCAATCAGGGCACTCTATATGCCTGGTGGGTGGGATGATGCAACAGAGTGAAACAAGAGTATGTCACATTCATTGCAGTGGAATGCGGAGATCATTTGAAAGACAACGGTAGAACCCGCCCCACAACCGAGAGCCGTCAATGGAGCATGGCCAGACTAAATAATACATTTATTTAGTCTGGCTTGCCAGGCTAATTAATCAGGGCTCTTGGGCCATTGTGAGCCCCAACAAAGTTTCATATGTAGAGGCTCAGAGAACAGTTTATTATTGTTAAAGTTGTTCTAGAACCCATTTAAGACCAAATTCAACATAGACATTTAATGTTTAGAGCTAAGGTTGGCAACTACCTACCCAGAGGGTCGATATCCAGCATGTTTTAGTTCTTTCCTTGCTCCTAAATACTTGATTTGATGGTTGAATCACCTGTTAAGCAGCTCATCAGGCTCTGTAGAAGCCTGTTAATCATTTTCTGACTCAAACCAGGTGCGTTGAAGCAAAGGAAACACTAAAAGACCCTTGTATTTAAATTTGCTTTTACTTAAATCTGTATAATGACTTTTGTGATTTTAATGATCTTTCATCTGTTTTCTGTTTTTGTGTGTGATTTTTTTATGGCCTTGTCCTTTCATTTAAATCTAATGTTTTAATATTGTGCAGCCTTAGTTGTTTCCATAAAATATTGCTCTAATTTGCAGAACTAGCAATGTAAAGCAGTTTAAAATTACTTATTTTCCTCCAACTTCAGGGCTCTACTGGCAGTCAAGTACCTCAGAACAAATACGCAGAGCTGCTGGCCATCATCGAAGAGCTTGGAAAAGAAATCAGACCCACATATGCTGGAAGCAAGAGTGCAATGGAGAGACTGAAAAGAGGTGAATCAGAAAAACCTGAGAGGAAACGGGTGAATTAAAGCGCTGCAAGTGCCAAAATGTATGAATGAATCTAAATGCGTTTGTTTGTTTCTTAGGCATAATTCACGCCAGAGGGCTGGTGCGTGAATGCTTGGCTGAAACGGAGAGAAATGCAAGATCCTAGCTGCAAAGGCACATTCCTCCCTGCAAGAAGAACTACATTTCATAAAAAAATTCAAAACAAAACTTGCATGGCATCGACTTTGCAAGGAGGATATAAATGAACCAGGATGGAAAAGCAAGTTTTTAGAGGAGAAACAAAATGATGCCTAAGGAGGATCATTCCAACCATGTGAATGGGTTAATGGGAATCCGCTGAGAAGGCACGTTGTGTTTTATGCCCCACTTTGGGATATTGGTTTGACTTAATATCTAAATCATTGGTTTTTGCATGCGAGCGGACCTGTGGGTTAATTGTAGACACTGCATGGCTTGTACAGAAGTAGATGGAAAAGACTTCTTTTGTTCTTTTGTTGCTGGTATTCGGTCTGATTTTCAGATCCTCTGACACACGATTGAGTTGAGTGATGTGCCAAATGCATCAGCTCATCTGTGATGAAGTTGGTTTTGGTATTAACAAAGAAAAGGAACATGCTGTAACTTGCATCTTTGTATGTATTTATTACTCAGTGTAATAAATTGTATTTTCAGTACAGTGGACATTGTCATTCACTGTGTTTTCGTTTTAAATGAATTGGGTTCTTGGCACACGGGCGGGTCAGAACCTTTGTGAAACTAGAACTCACTTTGCTATAACTCAATGATTTCAGTGGCTTCAGCTTCATTTGTACCAACCATGTTTAGACATAATGGAGTTTTTACCACATAAAGTTTAGGATCAACTTGACCTAAATAGTAAAGTTATTACTATTTATAACGGATTTTACTCAAATTTGACTTTAGATTTAAAAATCTATGGTCGTTTGAATTATTTTTTTAAAGAACAAGTCACCCCCAACCAGATTCTTATTCAACTCCCACTTCCTGTTTGAAAAATGCAACAAATGCTGTTGCCTAGCAGACCAAGAGGATGGAGCCGCTAACAAATACACACACTCATGACATTGTGACATCATAATGTACCATCTAACATCATAGTGGACCTCTTAGCCAATAGCAATGGCAGATTTAAATTCAAATGCAGTGCTGAGGTTTTACCAGATGACGGTGCATCGCTGACGGTTTTAGGCAGAATATTTAAATTTTGACTAAGATGCACTAAAGTGCCGAATCATTGACTACACACGTCTACAGCACGATCAGACACAAAGATATAAATGTGCAACTAGGGATGTCAGTTTGCATAAACCTTGATGCATTAGCACTCACTAAATATGAGTATTCAATTCAAGTCTAGTTTTTGTATGTTTTTGTGTTCTTCTCTTTCAACCTGACATATCTCTTTTAAAGAGCAAGTCACCCCCTGCCAGATTCTTACTCAACTCCCACTTCCTGTTTGAAAAATGCAACAAATGCTGTTGCCTAGCAGACCAAGAGGGTGGAGCCACTAACAAATACACACACTCACAACATTGTGACATCATAATGTACCAGTTTACATCATAGCATACCTCTTAGCCAATAGCGGTGGCAGATTTAAATTCAAATGCAGTGCAGAATTTTTACCTGACAACGGCACAACACTGACAGTTTCAGGCAGAAAATTGAAGTTTTAACTAAAATGCACTAAAGTGCTAAACTATTGACTACACGTGTCTGCAGCACGATTAGACACGCATTTATATAGTTTATCAGAAAAAAATAGCTGATTTGGGGGTGACTTGCTCTTTAAATGTGTACTTTTGTTTTTCCTTATTGCAGTGTTTTTTTTGTTGTTGTTTTGTTGTCTTTTCTAAAAGTGGAGTAGCACATTTCTCTTTGAAGGGCGATAAAATAAACCAAACTAATAAAATAGGAACAGCCTCTCACATTAAACTACACTCAAAATAATAAATTCAGTTGTTGAACATCATGAAGTTAACCAGGGATTTTCTTATAAACAAAGTAAACTTTCAAGTTGTTGTAAAAAAATAAAAAATTAGATACCTTTAAGTCTTCTTTTCAACTGTGCACAATTTCATGTATCAAAATACAAGAAAGCGATTCAACAAAACTGAATTTAGCCAAGATTTTGTCTGTTTTTCCCAGAACAGATGTGTGCAGCGCCTTTTAAATTATCTGAATTTCACAAACAAGTATTGCATTATTGGAAGATGGTATTTCCCCATAATTTTACTCCTCATTGTGCCACCTTGTGGAATGATCGAGTATTTGTTTCAAACAGAAAGTTTTTGTTTAACCAGCAGTGGTTTCATCAAGGAATTATTTTTGTACATGATATTATGGATAAAGATGGTGAAATATTACAGCTACAGAATTTAAAATATAAATTTAATAACATTCAATGTTCTCTTAAGGAATATGAGAAAGTATGTAAGGCTATACCAGTGACTTTGATACAAATGCTAAAAAACACAATTCTCTTCTCTAATGTTCGAATAAAACTTCCTAATTTATTAATAGGAGAATTGAACATCACAGAAAGAAAATGTGATAATAAATTTTTAAATGGAGCCTTTAAAAAATATATCTATCATGATTATGATAGAAAGATTAAACTAAAAATACTAGGAAATCCAATAATTGAAGAAAAACAATTAAAATTTATAAAATGGCCTATAATGCCCAAAGTAAAAGAAATGCAATTTAAAATTCTTAACAACTACTATCCATCAGCAGAGACGCTGAGGAAGAGATTTGGTTTTGAAGTTGACCCTTGTGAATTCTGTCAGGGAAGCCCTGAAAAAATAGAACACTTATTTTTCAGCTGTCCTGTCAGTAAGAGGTTTTGGGAAGAAGTCCACTGTTGGTTAAGAAATAAAATAAGAGAACTTGATCGTTTTACAAATGAAGATATTCTCATTTGCAATTCTAAATTAAATGGGAACAATTCATTGTTAATTAACATTATTATTATTATTATTATTATGGGTAAATACCACATCCACAAAAGCAAATGGAAAAATCGACTGCCAAACATGAACTGTTTCACAAATGAATTCCGTATGTTCTTATCCACTTTGACTCGTATAAAAAATTCAAATGCAAAAGACATTTGTCATGCTGCAGAAAAGTGTTTAATCTTGTAACAATGTTTTTACTTTGTGATATAAGTCCCTCATTTTTAAGTTTCTTATTTGTTTTTCTTTTATTGTTACTAAGGATGCCTTGTATGTTTCCATTATGTGTTGCTGTCTCACGAGAAATTGTAATAATCGTTTAATGATAATTAAAAAAAAAAGATGTGTGCAGCACCGGACACGCCTTTTCCGCTTAGCCAGCCAATAGAAAGCAAAAACTGTGACACCAACCAATCACTGTTCTGTATTTCATTTCGTATTTTGACGAATCGCGTGGTGGGGCTGTGAACGTTACAGCAGCCAGCAAACACTGCAGTGCAGTAGCCAACCAGCAACCAGCGGCCAGCGCGACTACTCGCTGAGAGATATGGGTGAAATGACGCTACAAGTTAACCGGTAGGGTTAATTGGTGTAGTTTATAACCATCTTTGCTGTTTACCGCCCTTCGCTGTGGGCTATAAGGTCGCACGCGCTGTCCTGCCACTCCGCTGTGCCTACATGTTATAAACCAACTTAGCCAAACTGCTAGTTAGCTAACCAACCAACCACTCGAACGACTCGACAGCTGTAGTTACCGCACTCCAGCTAGATAATCTAGCCTAAGTGAGCAGGCTGCCGCGGGCTGATGTGCCGTCCGCAGGCAGAGACGTCCTATAAAAGGCAGCTAGCTGGTGTTTGTGTTCAGTGATGACAAACGCCACAGTCTACAGCATCCCGCCTGTCTGCAGTGTGTTTGCTATGCTTGTTAGCTCTCCAGCTATTAAACTTCCTCATTTCAGTTCACTCATCACAAATGTGCTTACTAATATGTAACATCGACTTACGTCAGTTAAGATTTTGGACTTAGATTAATATATATTTATTCTAAATAATAGCTTTTGTTATGTATAGGTGTTCGTCCTACGTGTGCTTGTGTGGATTATTTTGTGTCAGTTGAGCATCACTTCCAGCTGTTAGGTCACACTTCCTGTTTTAATGACTTAACAGCTTCATTTTCTCTTTGTTTGGCCACCAGCTGTCAGAGTGACCCCCTCCACATGGGCCGGTAATCATGTCCACAGATGACAGTATCTCTGAGGATGTGTCCAGCTCGGCTTTGAGCCACTGCCACGCCAGCGCTGACGGGGATGGAGAGAAGGAGAGTGAAACCTCTCTGGTGTCCTCTGAGGGGACATCAGCCTCGGGACTGGCTGTCTCAGAGGAGAGACACACAACCTCCCACACCACGCCAGGCACCGTGGAAAGCAGGCCCTTGGACATCACACCAGCATGCAACAAGATCAGGTGACTAACTATCAACACAACACTTTACATTAAAAAAATGTCGGCTAGCAGTGCCTCCACCACACTCAGGACCATCCAGACAAAAGCGTCTGCTAAATACATAAACATAAAAAAACAAATTCAGTCTATCTTCACCCATGAGTCTCTACTTGACCTTGTGGTAACCCCAAGGCACTGAAGATGCCTGAGAGGTGGTTGGAGACGGAGTGTCTCCATGCTGCTTTGTTTTGGTCACTTATGAGCGTGAGGCGAGTGGTGTTACAACCCTTCCTGGGGAGTTTGGCTCGTGTGCAAAAAGGAAGGGACAATAACGGGATTTAAAAGTTAAAATGATGATCAGGTTTATTTACAACTACAAAAAACATAAATCTTTCCATCCACAGGTTGGGAATAATAAAACTAATTCTGCCTGTGGGGAATTAAAACAAAAGTACAAATAACTAGGGATGTCCCACTGGGCAAAGATTACTGGTTTCTGGACCAAAATAAGGATCTCCAAAGGTCCAAACTCTAAACTGGGTGGTTAAACCAAACTCAAAGTGATATTTTAAACTAAACAGAAACCCCACAACACTCTAAATGTAATAAAAGGGAGATCTGCACCACAAAAACAATGAACTCTAAACCAAAACGTAGCAGCTTATCCAAACGCAAGAAGCTGTTAGCGAAAATGCTAACAGTAGCTTTACCAACGTTAAGTTCATGTTACCAAGTTTAACAAGTTTAAATAAACCAAAAACACCCAGCAGCAAACAGACCAGCATGGAGGAGAGACTGCTACCACCAAAACAGCTCTCCTAATGTCTGAAAGAAGCTCCTTTATGAAGGGAGAAACGCTCCCGGTGATTTTCTACATCTGCGATAGAGACGAAGCAGCGCATCTGACCCCGGAAGTTGTTGTCCGTTGCCGGGAGACGAAGGCGGGCAAAACAGGAAAGGAATCTAGTAGCGGACGGACATTGTTCTGGGTCTTCAGTATTTGGTGGAGATGTTAGTGAAGGCGGAGAAGAGGGCGAACTAGAGGAAAAACAGGCAGAATCGTCTTCTATTTACTAACTCCTGTGGATGCAACAAGTGGGCGTGGTGCGTCGAGTACCGGATCTGACATCGACAAATTTTTAGAATCGAGCCGTCAACGTCATCGATGCGTCGCTACAACTCAAGGATCAAAGAGTTTTGCTTCTGGGTTGGCCAGTCTGGAGCTCTGCTCAAACTGAATTAACTCGGGAAGGGATTCTAGTTTTATTAATCCTATGTTATGACTTACTGACAAGTCAGAATTTGACATGTGAAGGAGGTTTTACCAACAAACCTCAGAAACCACACCTTTCTCAGATACAGGAGCTCTGATTTGTGGATAAGAAAGCAATGTGTCATGAGATTACTTTAACCTTGTCATCTTGTCATGTGTGTGAGCTGTCAAGTCACGTACGCTTATTATCAGACAAGTGGATATTGCAAGGACACATTCATTTCATCCTCGTTAATTTAAGCACAGATTAATCAAAACATTTCATTTAACACCTTATCCATTCATTACCTCATTTCATTAGCCGTATTGTTCATTTCATTATATGATTTCATTATAAAAGTTCATCTTTTGTTCTTTGAAGCAAAGCAGTCTGAGACAAGAGGAAAGCTTTAAGAGAGACTTTGGTGAAGCAACAGTTTGCCAAGGCACTGCAGAGTCTTCCTTGCAGCTCGGAAGATTAAAGGCACCAGATGCAGAGTTATGTCTGCAGCTGACTGGATACTGAAGAGGTCAAACTGTAGATGAAAATCGACCATTTCTGGACGCTACGCTGCCCATACTATGCTGTAACAGGATGTTTACTCACACTGTGGTGTGGACTTGCAGAGGTGAAGCTGGACGTTCACATTGTGCAGCGGACCATCTACCATCAAATGCACAGCGCTGCTCATAAACACATTCTGGGGGCCACGCTTTTTAAAAACGCTTTAGTTTCCTTACAATGAACTAAATAATTACTATACTATATTAATATTTATTTTACTAAATTAATTACTATTAGGTAGAGATGAGGAAAATAATCAAATAATCGATGCATAGGGATGTGGACATAAACGGTTCTGCATCGTAGGACAGTACGTCATAATCGATTATAGTGGAATGTAGTTTTGCTTTTTTTAACGGCGGCACCAGCGCAGCATCCAAATCTGTCAGAGTGGTTAGTGAAGTAGATCCATCAGCTGGGTAATTTAATCCTAATCCAGCCCACAGCCTTCTGCTGGTGTTACTATCAGAAAGAATAAAACACACATCTTAAATATTATTTCCACTTTATTCTTTTGTGTCATGATGATAAACTGATGTTAAATTCAGCTTAAAGAGAAGCTGGGAGGAAGCTTTGGTGCATTTTAAGTTACAGGAGGTCTTGTCTCCTATCTGCTCCTCCAGAGACAGCATGGACATGAGGGTTACATGGTGAGGGTCCCACAGGACAGGTTAATGGAAAGTTTTGTAGTTAGCTGGTTAGTGAAGTAGATCCATCAGCTGGGTAATTTAATCCTAATCCAGCCCACAGCCTTCTGATGGTGTTATTACCAGAAAGAATAAAACACACATCTTAAATATTATTGGAAGTGTAGAATTTGTTTTATGTTTTATTGTTTTCTGCATCAAACAGAACTTGATTCATTCTCTAACATTTCAAAAACGAACCACTGGGTTCAAATAAAATAACAAACTAAGTCAAACATTTCATTTGGTGTTATTTCTGTCACCCTGTGGCATAAATATTTGACTCTAGAGCTGCTCACAGACATTAAACACTCATATATGAACCCATTATGGATTTTATTATTACATTATGTGTCCTGTAGGTTGTCAGTACTATTTTAGATTTAGTGAGTTTTTGAAAGCGTGTTTTCTCAGCCTGAGGCGTGGTGTTGAACGAGGAAACAGATGTTTTACTTTGTTAAATCTTCTTAAATGTTTAAATGTTTGTCCTAACCTGTTGTGAATGGAGAGCTTTTGAGGGATGGCAGGTTGTGTCAATTACGTTTTTGATGAAAAAATAAAAAACAATTATCTGACATCTTCTATTTATCGATGAAAACAAATCAATATGAAATAATCGGGATGCATCGGGATATCTAATCAAATTGAATCATTGACCCAATAATCGTAATTGAATCGGGAGAAGTGAAGATTCGCACCTCTACTATTAGGAGGCTGACGCAAAGCGCCGTGGCAGACTGACCTGTTGCTGGTCTCAGTTCAGTTGGCTGCATGGCTTCATTTCCATGTTCTGCCAGGCTCAGCGCTCCGATGTGAGGCTCATTGTGTTAACTATACCAAGGATAAATAATCCCACACTGTGCTCTTTCTTAAAGGGATGCTAGGCAGTTTTGCTAGCTTTTAGCACCCCCTTGTGTCCGTTATTAATTCACTGTGGTTGACAGGGTATCCGCGGGTTAGGCTTGGGCGGTGTCCAAATTTGAATACCGTCTAACTTCCACTTAATTTTACCCCGGTATACGGTATTATCGTGAATACTTAAAAAGTATGACGTAAGCCTCAAGTGGACCTTCACCTTTCTGAATCTGAATACCAAACAATTACTAAAAAAATAACAACGCAACTCACATACTATTAACAACATTTACTATCACAAAAAACGCAGCTTATAAACAAGTGCAAAGAGTCAACAGTCCAACAGCAATAAATCAACGTAAAAACCGAGGACAGCTGTTGTGCGCAAATCAAGTGAACAACTTATCAACGAGCAGCGTGAAACAGTGCAAATAAGCTGTAACAGTCAACAAGAGTTGAATAACCATAAACATTGAAATTATAAAAATTATTGCAACCAAAACAACTGCATTAAAATTATAAAAAGAAAACTCCGTCACACGGCCGCACGCACACACACACACACACACACACACACACACAGGAGTGTGAACATTACGGCATGTTGCAGCAAATCTAGTTAAGATTTCTCGCCAGAAAAACCAGCATGTTTACTTTTTCTGGGTTCAAGTTTTCACGTTGTGGACCAACAACTTTACCTGCGGTGCTGAAAACCCGCTCCGATGGTGAGCTGGTGGCGCAAATACATAGATACCTCCGGGCCAGTCGTGACAGCTTGGGCCAGCTTATTTCCACCAGAGAAGAGGGTCTTCGTCCCCTTGAATAACAGGTTCCAAACAGTACGCTGTTATTTCATCTCCAGCTCGTTGCTCTGCGCAGCTGCCGGGACCCTCCGGCGCAGCGTCAGCGGCTCGTTTTTGCAGGAGAGCCCCCAGAGACACCTTTTTGCATTGTGATCGTTCCTCTTGGTTCGGATGCTTCTGGTGCTGTTTGCCCCTCTAAGCTCACGATCTCAGCCTGTAATTCAGCTTTGATTTCAGCCAGTGCGTTGTCATCAAGCTCATATCTGCCACGGTAACGAGGATCGAGGAAAGGGCATTTTCGCATTAATTTGCGCACTGAATCAGATTCATACTTGGCCTCCAGCTTTTTTAGAATTGTGGTTTTTATTGACTTTGTAAGCTGGAGGTCGTTTTCTGACACAGCCAACACGCTCTCCCTGCAGAGCTGGAGTATGGGCAGGGTAGAGGAACTGGTCAGTCGCACAGCTGTTTTTCATGACGGTATTGGAACTGACACCGTCGCTATTTTGTAATACCCCGTGTATACGGTAGTACCGTAATACCGCCCAAGCCTACCGCGGGTCCTTAAAAAGTCTTAAATTGGCTTTTCCAAATTTAAGACCTTAAAAATCCTTAAAAATGACAAATAATCCTTAAATAGTTTCCAAAGGTCTTAAATTACCAAAGACCCAATAAACAAGATTCTTTTATTTCTATAAAATTTTCGTGAATTTCTAGTTAGTGTTCAGCATTTTTTGTGTATGGTGTTGGCGTAAGCGACACATGCAGTTGGTTGTGAAAGGGGGCTATTTTTAGATGAGCACATTAGCTGGTTAAGCTAGTGGGAGCTTGCGCCACGGGGAAGTGCAAGTTTAATGGTAACGGGATGGCTAATCCCACGTTCGCGACGTGGTTAGCACCGTTTCCAGGCAATAGCTGGAAATTATAGCTTAAATTTAATTTAAAAAATAGCTTAAATTTGGTCAAAGTGGCCTTAAAAAGGTCTTAAAAAGTCTTAAATTTGGCTCCCTTAAACCTGCAGATACCCTGGTTGAAGTGAAACTCTTCTCCTCGCTGTGCATTCCTCTTCTTAACACCTTATATAAACCTCTGCAAATTGTTGTTCTTCACTTTTTCAAACTCTTTCTTACCGCATCGCTGTGGTTCTGCACTGCGCTGCGAACCCCTCTACAGATCTTCAGCCCACTGTCCACCGTGTTCGCTCCGAGCCGCGCTGAACACATGTCCAGTATAAAGCTCTGATGTTCTGATGGGAATCATTTCTTGATTGATTTAGTTACCTCCACGATGTACGTTAACGATTAAAATGTCAGCTCATCCATGCGCATCAGTGTGCGCGTCGGGGTAATTCTTTCAAAACAACCAACATCCTTGAGTTTATCCATCAAAATAAACAGTCAAATGGAAATATCTGCAACCTGCCGTTTAACTGTTTTGCCTTCTTGTGAAGATTGTTGCAAAGAGAAACAATTAAACTTGATTTACACCAGAGCCATGCGCACTGCGCTGTACTTCGTGACTGTAAATGAGGGGAAACGATTTAATCGGATCCTTTTCTCTTCAACACGGTTTAATGTAAAGTTTCATTCAGTACAAACTTTAGTTACACCAATCTAACGAGACAGAGCCTGGATTTTTATTCTGAACAGTTTAAACATGTTTAAAACGGAGACATCCTATTGTGGAAATTAAACTAACAAGATGAATAACATGAAAGTATTTTAGGCACAGACATCATCCCCCACACTTTTGAAAATCTTACAACGCGCCTGATCTTAATCTAACAGCTGAATGTCTCCTCAGCCTTTATTAGTTTCTACAGGAGTGATTCATCACTAAATCAAACGCATCATGATCTAAAACATGCAGGAACTCCAGCGCCTCATCACCCTAGTGAGAATGAAGTGGTTTAGATAATGAATGGATGAATGATGTTTTACAACTTAATTTATACAGAATGTTTGCTTTTATGAGGAGATGATTTTTCTGGCCTATGTTTACAACCTTGTTTTTATTCTTATTACTTAATGCTGGCAAAAGCAACTTTCATTATTCACGTTTACACATGCAGTACAAGTAATTTCTGAACAATTCTCCTACAGGAGTCTGTGTCTGAGCACAGATGAAGCGTTTGAACAAGGGAAGAGCCTTCCATTCATCAACCCGAGCTCCCTGGAGACCCTTAGGGCTTTGGTGCAGGAGATCCAGAGCAGTGGAGAGACAGACCCTGAGGTTTGGAAGGACTGTGAGGTAGGAACTCATCATGCAGCCTAAAAGATCAATTGTTCAATTGAAATCACTTGTACTGCATGTGTAAACGTGAATAATGAAAGTTGCTTTTGCCAGCATTAAGTAATAAGAATAAAAACAAAAAACAGATCACAACATGCCCTATAGGTAAAAAAAAAAAAATAAATAAAAATTGTGAGTCGCTTTGGGTAAAAGCGTCTGCTAAGCACATAAACATAAACATCTTAAGTACACTGATGCTGTAAAGTTTGGGACCTCTGACTCAGCATCTGCTTCATGTGCTGTAGCATCATACACACACGCACGCACGCACGCACACACACGCACACGCACACACACTCACACACACACACACACACACACGCACACACACACACACACACACACACACACACACACACACACACACACACACACACACACACACACTCACACACTCACACACACACACACACACACACACACACACACACACACACACACACACACACACACACACACACACACACACACACACACACACCTCAACCCCATGCACAGCTCCTCCCTGCAGCTGATCATTGTGGGGCTTGTTTTTGTTGCTATCACACCTTAGGTGGGACGTCTCAGGACGATGCTCCTGTGGTCACTAGAGAACTATTGCCGCTAATTTTATAGATTTTTCTCTCTTTTTGAAGAGAATCTGAACATCGCAGTGGCCTCTGGCTTCATCCTTTACTAAGGCACATTGTATATAGGCAGGCAGACATTTTATTTTAGTGTATTTTATTTAAAAGTCTCTCTTGTGGCTACCTTCTGTGTGTTTACTTTCACTTAATTAACTGAAGGATTTCTTGGTAGGATCTCTCCTGGGTATGACTTATTTCTGGACCACACCAGTATAATTAACAGGTTAGGGCCACTCGTATGTTACTTAAACATGTTCACACACGTCTGTCTGCAAATAAATGGTCCACAAGGACCTACACGAACATGGAGAGATGCATAACAAGCTCTCTTATGACTTCTGAATATATCAATTTAGATTTAACTAGTCTTATAACCAACATCTACATAGGTAGATTCAAGAGACTAATGCAAAATGGTGTCTGTTTATTCTGTTTCTTATGGTTTGGTTATTAATGTCTGAACAATAATTATAACCATGAAATATAAAGGAACAATATATAAGAATTCTACAGTGAAATAATCACAAAACAGCCTAAAGTCTCAACCATTTTGAAAGGAAGGTTACCTAGAAACAGATTTCATTGTCAGCCAGCAGTCAGTTTTTCTCCTTTAAAAACAACTAAAGAGGGACGTAGTCAGTGTTACGCTCTGTGAGCACAAAAGGTTGCAGAGCTAACGCTGCAGCGCCGGCATTGGAACATGGAATGCAAAAAGCCCCAGAGTTGTTTAAAGAACTGAAGCCAGTAAACAGAAGTTATTTTTTGTGCCCCAGGAAGCCACGGCATCTTTTTGTTTTGCTCTATCGGGTGGAGCAGGCTAGAGGCTAACGTTGAGCTAACAATACTAACGGTGAATTAGAAGCAATAATTGACTCTAAAAATATCTCAAGCTACTTCTTCAATTACAACAACTCAATATTACTGTGAAATGCATGTGTGAAGAGAATAATGAGCCTGTTGTGGCGTTTTACTTCTTTTAATGAGTCGTTCAGAACTATAACAGCAAGCAGCCACACTTTCTCTAATGCTGGAGACATATTACCGTAATAAGTGTAGTAAGTGCTTACCGTAAAACACCAAAGAGTGCTAACACCAGATATGACAATGCGTTTATCTACTTATCAACTCCTTTGTGTTAGTCATCTAGAATCTTCTGGTGCTGATCCGTAATTGACAACAACCATAAAACCTATGGAATGGTAGAGAGAGAGGGATTTTTGTTTATAAAACGGACTGCAGTAACCAAATTTGTCCACATATTGTCATTCCCATTTCCTCCTAACATATTGCACCTTTAACAATTAATTTGCGATCACATCCACCCATCCATCCATCCATCCATTCATTCATTCATTCATTCATTCATCCATCCATCCATCCATCCATCCATTTTCATCCTCTTATCCGGAGTCGGGTCGTGGGAGCAGTAGCCTAAGGCGAGAGGCCCAGACTTCCCTCACTTAGCCATCACACGATTTTCTAAAAGTGTGTAGCAAATAAAATATATGGTTACAAGTGAGTGTGTGTGTATTACAAGATTTAGGTTTCTTGTCTGGAAAAAGTTAACTAGGATTTTCTAGGATATTTTAAAGAGTAGATGATGTGTAAAATATAAACAAAATAAAAATATACTGACAAACATTTAAACTTTTTTGTTTTAATAGTTCAAAGGCAACCTAATAAGTTTATGTAGGATTGCTTTCCTACTTTCTTTGTGTTTGAGTTTGATGTTTTGGTTTCAGATTTCGCTTTTGAGTTGATTTAAAGCAGGATGGTGCCAGTTATTCTGTAAACTTTACAAAACCTGTTCCACTTTTGACACAAGGCTCTTAAAGTAACATTGTGTATTTGCCCCGGCGATAGGAGGCAGTAGATACCTAAATCATTGCAAGCGAGCAGTATTTTTGCATTTGAGTAAGACCTTACCAACGGATGGCCATTAGGGTCAAACATCCCTGGGAGCACAGCCTCCAGCAAAATGAAAAGCACATCAGACTCGCTTTCATCACTGGCAACAAGTGAAGAGGTAAATGTGTAAAGCAACGATTATTAATGGTGAGAGTTTTGTAATTGTTTGTTACAAATCACTAAATGCATTTCATCCTCATGGGCTTCCGTAGAAGGAAACATGGTGTCTAATATGGCATCGCCCAGAGACTTAAACCCACTGTCATGTATTTTAGACCGATTTCTATGGTTATATGTTACAAAGCCGCCAATATTTTTCAACAACTGGGCATCATTTCATTCATTTTCAACAACATTTTGATTGATATTTCCAGAGATTAGCGGTAAAAACGACACATTCCCTCTTTAAAACCTTTAGAATCAGCAGAAATCCTCGTGTCCACCTTATAAAAATCATCTGTAATTCAGATTTGTAAATATTTACAGCTACTGATAATGAAATGGTTCAACATTCCGGTTTCAACAGTTTCACTATGTAACGAAGGCATACAACATTGTTTTTGTTTCTGCAACAGGGTCGATGGTTGCATCTGTTCCAGCTGGTTGAAAAGCAATACCAAGAGCAAATACTCGCTCAGCAAGAACAATATCAGTGCCAAATACAGGTAAACCTGCACTCGTCAAAATAAAATATTAAATATTAGTTTTACCAGTTCTATCATATATATTAAACTGTGTGTATGTGTGTGTTTTCTACCTAGTTGATTCAGGATGAAATTAAGGCCCTTGTCCAGCTCCAGAACCGCCAAACCAGTGTCCACCAACAAACAGAGTTCTCACCGACTCTAGTGACCAAAAGCACCACAAACATGAAGGACTACGTTTTTCCAGTCATTCCCAGCGACTGCACAGTTCTCATAAATGAGCCCAATGACAACAACAGCTTGGCAGCTCCTTTTCATAGTGCTTTCAGCACCCCCTCACCTCCACATACCACATCAGAGACCCACAACCAGGGCGAGGAGCAGACAATCACAATGCTCAGCAGTGGATATGGAACCTTGTGTACTTGGAAAACCGGTCTAGAACCTGATGAGTCTCCTGAAGATTTAGTACCGGATCAAGGGGTGCAGAGGCATCAGTGGGACAGAAATCTCCAGAAAGAGATGGAGACAACAGTGATTGGTCACCAGCTGGATTATCACAATGAAACAATAGTTGGAGTGAAGGAAACTAAGCCCGTGGTGTACCAGCAGACAGCTGCTGGGTATGTTTCAGCTCCTGCTTTTATTAGGGAGGAAACAAATGAAAATTTAGGCTAGGTTGTTTTTCAACTTAGTGGGTGTTTCTGTTACAAGTAGTTATGTGCTGTGGAAAACAAACTAAAAGGTGTCTGAGCAAGTGGTAAAAGTCCAGTCAAAGATAAGGAGTAGCTTCAAAGGCTTCACTGAGTTCATGAAATCACAAAATAAAACTGTTATTATTGATGGTATTAAATTGTGGCAGTAAAGGCTGCCTGATTCTGACATTTGATAAATTTTTACCAGCTAGTCTATCCCAGCTTGGATTGCCGGGTCCTATATTTTCCCACCACTTTTCACACTGAGCGGTTTTGTCTGCAGAAGCAATCAGCAGCTGACGTCTTGGGCCCAGAGGCAGAAACTCAGACCCAAGAAGACCAAAGCAGAACAAGCTTCACCACAAATCTCTAACTACCCGGAGCAGTCTCGCGGTCCCAGGGAACCCAGCGAACAAACTCCACTGGGGACTACAGACTTCCACAGCCAGGTAACAACTCCCCACCGACTCTGGTCAAAATTCAATCTTGGCCGTTCTTGATGTGCTTGTACAGATGTTGTTCCCGCCATTTATTCTCATTCTTGTACCTGCATCGTCTTTCAGCACCGACCTGATGGGCCGCTGGGGAGGAGTGATAGTCTGACGTCCGAAGCATCAGGTAACATTTCTCTCACAAACAAAACTCTGAATAATTTAGTAAAATAGGGCGTTTTATTATAACACAAATTTAAATGAACACATGTTAAATGTTGAGCTAATAAAAGAGGTCAAAGTCTCAACTGAACTCAAGCAAAAATGTGACCAAACATAACTGAGCCAAAGGCAAATGACACACAAGGGTGTATGTAATGGCTGATCAGACCAACAGAAACAATCGAAGTAACCAAACACAATAAAACACAGATTTTTTATTTTGCCAAAAAATTATCAACTCCATTTATCTACGACTCCAAGTAGAAAAGAGAAGTAAAGAAACCAGATTTTTACGTGCAGAATCGGCACAGATTCTCAGTTTGAAGAAGCAGAGATTAGTTCAGACAGAACTAATCAAAGCCATTTATTTCATAATCTAATGACAGAAAGTCTTTTCTGTAACAGGCCTCACCTACTGGCGGCTGAATGAGTGTGAACTTTACTGGCCTCTACCAGACAGCTTTGACAGCAGCGCTTACCTTCTTCTGCAAGAGGCATCCACGCATCTTGTGAGTGTTGAAATACAGAGGAGATGTTTTATTGTCTGCATTAGAGCCCTGCACTGAAGCCCTAGGCCCTCGGGCCGGGCTTCGGGCCAATGACTGTGTAATTACCACAGGCCGGGCCGGGCTCCTTTATTTTTAATCGAATTCATTAAAAAAAATTGAAACACTAAGTCACTCAAGAAAAGATTCCCATCTGAACATCTGAGCTGGACTGCTCAGCGCAGCTCACTGTCAGCGTGTACTACATAAGGTCCACAGCAAGCTGAAGATGTGGAGAGGGGCTTGGAGCGCGTCGCAGGACCAGAGAGCATGCGGGAAGATTCCTTCCACTGAAGCGAGTGTTTTCCAAACCCGGTCTCTCAGAGAGACTTGTCACTTAGAAAATGTTCCCTGATGATGAAACTTTGGCTGAATAGCGCTTGTTCCTGTCTCCAATGTGGCGACACATCCAGGAGCCGTCTGAGGAGAATCCCAGAATCTCACATCCTCTTCAGCTCAGAAAACGCCTATATGATTACGCACAAGCGTGGCGCGTCAAGCCGGTCTCACAGTAAGACCGGGTTGGAACTGTTCAGGTTTACGCAGACAATCTTTACATTTAGAATTAGCTTACAGATGTAAAATTAATGCAGTCAAATATGAAGCTTTTTATTTAAATATCCATTCATTATTTTACAAGCACAGAGAGCCGCATCAGATGGATGGAAGAGCCGCATGCGGCTCCAGAGCCGCGGGTTGCCGACCCCTGACTGAAACGCAGCAGTAGAGCCCTGCGCGGGACTGTTTTCCTCATCCTGCTCCTGCTGAATTTCTGACAATTACCGCCCGCAACCGCAACGTGTGTGTAACGCCGGGGACACACCGGCCGCGGAAGCACCGCGAAGCGCCGAGAAGCGAATCGCTCACGAAATTCGGCCGCTGCTCGCCGCTCCTCAGTTCAGATCAGACGCGCCCCAGTCGAAGCGCGCCTCGGCTCATCTGTAGTTTTTCTTTTAAACACTTGGTGTCCTCCATTTCCTCTCTGCCTTTTATCAGCTCTTTTCCTCTACGTTTGAGTGTTTGTGCGCGCGCGCCCGCGTACGTGTGTGTGTGAAATAATATTATAAATAAATATTTTCCTTGAACGTGGACACACCTTGTGTGTGTGTGTGTGTGTGTGCGTGTGCGTGTGCGTGTGCGAGTGTGAGTGTGTGTGTGAGTGTGTGAGAGAGAACCTATGTTTCTGCCAGATGAATCTCTTGGAACCCGCTCCAATTCTGCAGCTGTATCCTAGCAGTTTCTTCCTAAATGGGTACGTAGATAACCATGTTTTTCGGGGGGCGTACAGCTCCTTGTGTTTCTCAACTTCCATAATTAATTTTAAGTCATCCATCTTAACTGCTTGCCTCAGACTTTCTGCTTCTCTGTCCTGTTTGCTCCGTGAAAAGACACCCAAAATCACACCCCCCTTCACGCGGTCACACACGCACACAAGTTCGATGTGTGTGTGTTCGTGTGGTTTTTCTGCAGTGTCTGATTACGAACACATTTGATTGCGTAATTTTATTTTGAAATGCTTTATTTTGTTAACTTTACCGGCCTGCCTCTTATGTCTCGGTTTGACTTCCTGCCAGAATTGACGCGATTCACCCACGGCTCGCGAAAAAAATAGAGCCGACGCCGAAATGATCGCTGCACGGCGCGAGCTGGAGCGCCGGCGCGAGGCGATTCGCGGCGCTTCGGCGGCCTATGTGGTCTATAGAATAGCTTAACAAGGGCGCCGAATGAAGGCAGTCCCATTTTCGCGGCGCTTCCGCGGCCAGTGTGTCCCCGGCGTTACACTCCCTCCCGCACCTGCAGTGTGCATGTCTACTCCCGCCCGCAACCGCAAAACTCGGAGAAATTATTACCTCACAATAAAAGAGATGTATCGAGTTTGCGTCCTCTCTGGTCCTGGAGAAAACCTGCCACAACCCGTGGCTCTTCCATCCATCTGATGCGGCTCTCTGTGCTTGTAAAATAATGAATGGATATTTCAATAAAATGCTTTATATTTTACTGAATCAATTTTATATCTGTAAGTCAATTCTATGTAAAGATTGTCTGCGTAAACCTGAACAGACCCAACCCGGTCTTACTGTGAGACCGGGTTGACAGGTCACGCTTGTGCGTAATCATGTGCTCTGTCTGAGCTGAAGAGGATGTGAGATTCAGGTTCTCTTTCTTAACATTTGTTTCGATGTCTCACTATGGGATATCCCCCTCCGCGGATTCCTCAGATGCACTTATCTCAATACGCCAATCCTGATTGGCCAGTGACCGTGACGTACGCGTCCCCTGCTACTATAAGTAGCAAGCGTCCCAACGCATGCACTATTCAATCACCTCTTCTCGCATCGGTGGTTGCTTATCTCTAAGGTAAGTTTGCTCAACTGTTCACAGACGGAGCCAGCTAATATTCACTCTCCGTCGCCGAATGTTAACTTACTGTCCTTCTGTCCTGACCTTCACCATAGGCTCGGGGCATAACGAGCAGCTTCACACTCCAGTGCACCTGTTCGTTCTCTTGCTAAAACACCAGTTTGCCCACATGGAAGCCGCTCCTCCCACCAGAGGAGTCAACGGCGCAGGAGCTCACCTCTGTACCTGTGGGTACAAAATCTCGAGCAAAGACCCGCACAAGGTCTGCTCGAGCTGCCTCGGGCTGGAACATGCCCAGCTGGCATTGGAAGTCCCCGGGTCATGTGAGAGCTGTGCTTGCTTCAACCTGAAGAGACTTCGCCGGCGAATAGCGCGCCAAGCTATCCTGTCGGGGAAGGACCCTTGCCTGCCGGCCCCTGGGCCACCGCCTGGGGACGCCGGCGAACATGCCTTCCCGGAGCCGGAACTGTGTGCCGAACTCAGCTGGGGCTCACAGCTCGAACTGGCTGGTCTGAGCCACCCCGTCGAGGACGTGTTGGAGTTGGACTACGGAGACAACGAGGACACCTCGGAACTCCTCATTTCAGAGGAGGACGAGGATGACGACGTTTTTCTCCCCATCGCTCAGGCCTCCATGCCTAGCTTTCCGCCCTCTCCCAGGGATGGAGCGGCTTCTCCGGCCGCCCACCTGGACATGCAGTCAGTCTGCCAACGCGCTGCGACCAGGCTCAACATCCCTTGGCCCACCGTGGTCACTTAAGCTGTCAGATCCCGCTACGAGGGAAAGAAGCTGCCTCAGGCCACAAGGGCGGCAAAGCCCCTCCTTCCCGCCTTCCCGGAGCTTCTCCAAGAAGTGAGGTCCTCCTGGGACAAACACCCTTTCAGCTCCAGGTCTCCTGTCCAAGGAGCCTCCTCGCTGGACTTCGAGGGGATGGAGAAGGCTGGCATGCTTCGCATGCCGCCGATGGAACCGCTGGTTGCAGCCCACCTGCACCCACGGCTCTCGGCAACTTCCTCCAGGCCTCCCGCTCTCCCTGCAAAGGCGGACCGCTTCCAGTCGGCGCTGAACGAGAGGGCGTACAAGACTGCCGCCATCTCGGTCCGATCTTTGAATGTCTCCTCCATGCTCTCGGCGTACCTAGCCGAGCTCTGTGAGGACATGAATACGAAGCTGGACCCGGAGGTGTGGGAGGAAATCACCGTACTGACCGACATCTGCCTGCGCGTGCAGCGCTGCGCGGTCCAGGCTACGGCTAAAGTTATGGGCATGATGGTGCTTCAAGATTGTGCACGATGGCTGAACCTCACCAACCTCTCTGATAGAGAGAAGGAGGACATTTTGGACATGCCAATCGTGCCTGAAGGCATTTTCGGCTCTGCCCTGGCATCAATGCAGCAACGGTGTGAGGCCAAAAAGAAGGAGGATGAAGCCCTTCATCTCTGCCTTCCCCGTAAGCCTTCACCGGCACTGCCGGCTCGGCCGAACCTTCCTCAGGCAGCTGCCAGAGCCCAGCCTCAGTTCCGGATCCCAAAGCGCCCGAAGCCTCAAGCTGTCCAACCAGCTCCTTCGGGCTCAGCGCCTCGACCAGTTTGGCCTCAGAGATCCGGCAACCAAGCCGCTCCGCCGTCGGGACAACCCACCCGACCCGGCGGTCAGCAGGTGAGGAAGAAGAAGAGGGCAGCCTGACGGAGTTCTTTCCCTCCCGACGCTGCAGCTGGCAGTTCGCCAGCTCCTCCTGTTCGATGTTGCCATGGTGCCTTCTCCCCCCCCCTCACGGAACCCCTCCGGCAGAGTCCCCGAGAGGTCCAGGGTGGGGCCAGGACGTGCAGCCGGCTGTGCCGGCTCAAAACACACGTCACAAGCACTCACACTGTTTTTTACAAACATGTCACGCTCAAGGAGCATTAAAAAGTTCGCTGCCGCATCCAGACAAAATGTCAAAGGCACAGCAAAAATCAATAAAAATGTCACCCATGAGCGGTTCCAGGCGGGGGCGGCCCCTGGCGGACTTACCCGCCAGCCACAGGTCGTCCCCGTACGCCAGGGCCGTCAAAGCACAAAGCCCCCGCGCATGCGCAGTGGCTACCACAAGCAACGCTACCCCACAACCTCTGGAGGGAGCTGCTGCTCCGTGTGTCACGGCTGTGTCACCGCTCTCCACTCACATGGAGGAATGGACAGCGGTTTCTGCTTCACGTTGGGTGCTGAGAACTATTTCGAGAGGTTACAGGCTCCAATTCGCTTCTGTTCCTCCTCGATTCTCTGGCGTAGTGTTCTCCCACGCCCAGGGGACGTCAGCTCACATCCTTCAGGGAGAAATCTCCTCCCTGCTAGAGGAGGGAGCGATATGCATTGTGCCTCCCGATCGGTCTCAGAGCGGTTTCTACCCCAGGTACTTCCTGGTCCCGAAACGGGGAGGGACTGGTATTCGCCCGATCCTGGATCTGAGGGCCCTGAACCGATGCCTCAGAAAGTACAGATTCAAAATGCTCACGCTCTCTTCCCTTTTGCGTCTGATTCACCAGAACGACTGGTTCACCTCAATCGACCTGAGGGACGCATACTTTCATATTCCCGTGTACCCTCCACACAAGAAATTTCTGAGGTTTGCCTTTCAGGGAGTGTGTTACGAATACACCGTGCTCCCATTCGGCCTCTCGCTGAGCCCGAGGGTGTTTGTCAGGTGTACGGAGGCGGCGATCGCCCCTCTGAGAGGGAGGGGCATTCGGCTGGCCACGTATTTAGACGACTGGCTCCTGCTGGCACGGTCCAGAGAGGAGGCAGCGTCAAACACGCTGGTTGTGATCCATCACTTGTGTGGTCTGGGTTTCAGAATAAACTGGCAGAAAAGCGCTTTACTCCCCTCCCAGAAAATAACCTTTCTAGGTCTGAATCTGGACTCAGGGGTGTTCACGGCCCGTCTCTCGGCACCGCGCTTGAACGCGCTCTCGCACTGCCTGGCGCGCTTCCGCCTACACAGTCCGGTGCGGTTTGCGTTTTGCCTCAGGCTTTTGGGTCTCATGGCGTCGGCTATTTCAGTGGTACCACTCGGCCGTCTACACATGAGAGATTTTCAACGCTGGGTGGCTTCTCTGGGTCTCTCTCCAGTGCGCCACAGAGCGTGCAGGGTGACGGTCTCTGCAGCGTGCGTCGCGGCGCGCTGCTGTTGGCGTCACCCCTCCCTCTTGGCACAGGGGGTGCCTTTGGGGTTGGTTCTCGTGAGGAAAGTGGTCACGACAGATGCGAGCCTGTCAGGTTGGGGGGGGGGGGGGGGCTCCTGGAGGGTCGCTCTGTCAGGGGTGTGTGGAGCAGAGAGCTCTGGGGGACACACATAAATTATCTGGAACTCCTCGCGGTCTTTCTGGCCCTTAGGCGCTTCCTGCCTTTTCTCTCCGGCCATCATGTCCTAGTGAGAACAGACAACACCACGACTGTGGCTTATATAAACCGCCAGGGTGGGCTGCGCTCCATGCGGTTACACACGCTGGCACGCAGACTGATCCTATGGTGCAGCAGGCATCTCCTCTCAATCAGAGCCACTCACGTCCCGGGTGTTCTGAATCGGGGGGCGGATCTGTTGTCCAGAGGGACACCCCTGTACGGGGATTGGAGCCTGCATCCAGCAGTCTTGGAACAGATTTGGATCCGGTTCGGCACAGCCGTAGTGGATCTTTTTGCCTCCAAGGAGAATGCTCAGTGTCCACTGTTCTTCTCCCTGCGCGACCGAGACACTCCACTCGGCGTGGACGCGCTGGCGCACGACTGGCCACGGGGACTGCTTTACGCTTTTCCCCCAGTGGCCCTGATACCACCCACCTTGCTGAGGGTACGAACCCAGCGCCACACTCTCATTCTGGTGGCCCCATACTGGCCGGCCATGCATTGGGTGGCGGACATTTTCCAGCTCCTGGAGGGCCAACCTTGGAAACTGCCGCTTCGCAGGGACCTGGTGTCCCAAGCGGGAGGCTCGATCTTCCACCCTCATCCAGAACGGCTGGCCCTGTGGGCCTGGCCCCTGAGGGGTGCGGGCTAGTGTCAGCAGAGCTGCCCCAGGCAGTCATTCGAACCATTCAGAATGCTAGGGCCCCCTCCACTAGGTCCCTTTATGACTGTAAATGGAGGGTGTTTGAAGCCTGGTGTCAGGGCAGGGAGGTCTCACCCTTCCAATGCCCGGTGAACGTCATTCTGTCTTTCCTGCAGGACTTGTTGGATGGGAAGAAGGCTTTCTCCACCATTAAAGTGTACCTAGCAGCCATTTCCGCCCGACACTTGGGTTTTGGGAAGAAATTGGCAGGTCAACACCCCCTGGTGTGTAGCTTCATGAGGGGCGCGCGCAGGCTTCTCCCTGTGTCTCGACCCCTGGTGTCCTCATGGGATCTGTCCTTGGTGCTGTCGGCCCTCTCCGGGCCTCCATTTGAACCTATGGACGGCCTGGACCTTAAGATCCTGTCTCTTAAGGTGGTGCTACTCCTGGCTTTGGTATCTGCAAAGCGAGTTAGTGACTTACAGGCTCTCTGTGCACCCATCCTGCACCCAGTTTGCACCAGGTGACATGAAGGTGTCCTTGAAGCCCAACCCTGCCTTTGTGCCTAAGGTGGTGGGCTCCTTTTCTCCTATTATCCTCACAGCTTTCTACCCACCGCCCTTCTCCTCTCCTGAGGAGGAGTGGTTGCACAAGCTGTGTCCGATTCGCGCGCTCAAGGAGTATGTGAATCGGACGGAGAACCTTCGCAGGGGGGACCAGCTTTTTGTGTCATGGGGTGGGCCTCGTAAGGGGAAACCCGTCACAAAGCAGCGGCTTTCCCACTGGATTGTGGAGGCTATTTCTATGGCTTACTCCTGTCAGGGCATTCAGGCACCTGTAGGGCTCAGGGCCCATTCTACTAGGGGCCTGTCTGCTTCTTGGGCCCTTTTTCGGGGGCTGTCAATCCAGGAGATTTGTGCTGCAGCAAGTTGGGCTTCTCCACTTGCATTTGCACGCTTCTATAAGCTTGATGTTTCGGTCCCTGCGATGACTCACACGATTCTGAGTGTGGGGTCTTTGGCGGGCCAAGACGTACCCCTGTAGGTTGGTGATCGCTGGATAAGCTGTCTGGCAATACGGGAGTCTCCATATCCCATAGTGAGACATCGAAACGAATGTTAAGAAAGAGAACTTTAGGTTACTGTCGTAACCCCGGTTCTCTGAGTAACATGAGTGAGATGTCTCACCAGACAACCCTTCTTGCTGGGCGAAGCGAGAAGAGGTGTTTATCTTGAATAGTGCGTGAGTGGGGACGCTTGCTACTTATAGTAGCAGGTGACGCGTACGTCACGGTCACTGGCCAGTCAGGATTGGCGTATTGAGATAAGTGCTTCTGAGGAACCCGCGGAGGGGCGTATCCCATAGTGAGACATCTCACTCATGTTACTCAGAGAACCGGGGTTACGACAGTAACCTAAAGTTTTGTGGGTTCATTGAGAACATGGTTGTTGTTCAATAATAAAATTATTCCTCAAAAATACAACGTGCCTAATAATTCTGCACTCCCTGTAAATGTAAATTTATTTCAAATAACTGTTTGGCTGCTTGTTTAAAAGTTGTTAATAAAGAAAAAAGTTTCACAGCGACCAGCATCCCGGCATGCGTTGTGGTCGATGACGCAATACTCCTTTTCTTAATTCTGCAATTATTTGCACACTTGTGCACTACGCACTCGAAACCTACTGCGCACTTTCTCCAAGTGCACTTTGCTGAAGACCGCAGGGCGAGTATGGATTGGGCCATTATAGGCCCACTGACTGATTACAAGATTGTAGACACTTGTGATGCTAACTAGTGGACACCTTAAATAACATGTTTATTAACATTGTTTTCACTCTTTTCTGGGGTATCATCATTTTTGTCCAGACCTATTCCTTGAGGTTTTTTTTTAATTATAATTCTGTTGAAGCAAGTTTGAAAAACAATGTCTGACTTTGGTTAAATTTCACAAAATTTTTATTTATTATTACTTTGGTCAAATTCAAGCTATTTCTGTGACCATTGTGGGTTTTTCTTTCATTGATCGAAGGGTACAATCAATTTTGTCCACGTCTGTATATTAGGTTGATAGACTGTCTTTAGGATCAACCTGTTTCGATGTTCTCCTGTGTCTCTAACAGGAGCCACGGCTGTCTCTCAAAGAGCTCTATCACAAGCAAAAAGATTGTAAACGAATCGACTCAGAAGGATCAGTTATTTCTAGTCCTTTGTCGCCACAGCAGGTACAACACTCAACTTCCACATTATAAGTTTTTAGGGCAACATGTTAAAATTTTCCCAATTAATATTTGTTATGTGTGTGTGTGTGTGTGTGTGTGTGTGTGTGTGTCTATATATATATATATATATATATATGTATATATATATATATATATATATATATATAGACACACACACACACACACACACACACACACACACACACACACACACACACACACATAACAAATATATATATATACCGTAAATCCTCTAATACAGGCCCGGGCCTGTATTTGACTCAAGCTCATCAAGCTCCAGGCCTTTTTTGGAAGGAGGGCCAGTATTAGAGGCAGGCCTCTTTCTATTTGAGCAAAATGAACTAATGGTTCGCTGGAGTTTTTGACAATTAAAATTGAGCCCACATTTTCTAAGTTAAACACATTTCTTTTAACAACGGTAGTTTCTGCTTCAGCCCTCTCCCCCCTCCCCCTGCGCAGCGGCCGCAAACTCACTGATGCGCCTGCAGCCTCTCAGAGTTCCTGCTGCTCTAAACATTAAAATAATTATTTCATTTTCTGTTCCTCACTTCTGATGACCTTCAATGGTGTCTGTTTGTTGCAACCAGCAGGTACAAAAACTAACTTGTTTTTATTTGACTATTTTTCTGTCCTGTCTGTTTATTATCTTCCTGCATCTCCTCTCAATCCTAAAGAGAAACTGCTACCTGGGTTCATATATATTCACCTTATGAGTTACCTTTGAACTGCAGTTCTAAAAGATCTCCCGACCGCAAAAACAGCGGAGTGCTCGCTGCTTGCCGGCCGCATCAGTGATCGGTGCGTGTGTCACCGGATGACAAGTTGATGCGCCCCGCTTCACAGCAAAACGCATCAGGCACAAATAAAAGACAGAAAACATCAAAGGAAATGAACCGACATGAACGATCGTGTGTTAAATAATTTGACAACACCTGATTGTTACTGTGGCCGTGCTCAGGAGGCAGATTACCGACCGCAAAAACAGCGGAGTGCTCCCTGCTTGGTGGCCGCGTGATCGGTGCGTCACCGGATGACAAGGTGATGCGCCGGGCGCTCCACAGCCAAACGCATCAGGCGCAAATAAAAGACAGAAAACATCAAAGGAAATGAACCGACATGAACGATCGCGTGTTAAATAATTTTTTGAGGTGGTGACACCTGATTGTTACTGTGGCCGTGCTCAGGAGGCAGATCTACAGACCGCAAAAACAGAGGAGTGCTCCGTGCTTGGCGGGCGCATCAGTGATCGGTGCATCACCGGAGGACAAGCTGATGTGCCCCGCTCCACAGCATGCAGCGAAACACATCAGGCGTAAATAAAAGACAGAAAACATTAAAGGAAATGAACCAACATGAACGATCGCGTGTTAAATGTGGCGACACCTGATTGTTACTGTGGCCGTGCTCAGGAGGCAGATCTACCGACCGCAAAAACAGCGGAGTGCTCCGTGCTTGGCGGCCGCATCAGTGATCGGTGCGTCACCCGAGGACAAGGTGATGTGCCCCGCTCCACAGCAGCGAAACACATCAGGCGCAAATAAAAGACAGAAAACATTAAAGGAAATGAACCGACATGAACGATCGCGTGTCAGTACCGACGCTCTGGCACAGCCTCCTCTTCGTCTCTGCACGGTTAAAGTTACCCTCGCGGTCTGTCACTGGCAAATCAAAAGTGAGACGATGACACAACCCCCCCCCCCCCCCCCCCCCCTGTACTTGCTTGTTACCACATTCCACCCGGCCACAATAAGAGACCGGCCTTTATTCACCTCAGCCAACTCCGACACCGGCCAAAATTGGAGACCCGGCCTTTAATTGAATACCGGCCTGTATTAGAGGATTTACGGTATATATATATATATGTATGTATATATAGACACACACACACACATGCACACGCACGCACACACACACACACACACACACACACACTCACTCACTCACTCACTCACTCACGCACGCACGCACGCACACGCACGCACGTACGCACACGCACGCACGCATATAGACACACATCTCGCCCAAGCCTGTGTCATGTTGTAGCAAAAGCAAATGATGTACTTTAGTCCCTTTCAGAGTCCTTGACCTCCATCTCTGTATTTCAGATGTTGACGCTGGATGCAACAACTCACACGCAGCACTCAGATCGAACATCTGGCTTCACTTCACCGTCTCACTTCAGCAGCCCTTCATTTCCTGCCCAGCACTACTCCAGAGCCATAAAATCCATAACCCCTGACAGCATGGTGGAGAGTAGTCCCAATCCTGGAGACACAGACTGCATCTCCGACACCTCCAGTGCTTCTGCTGCTGGACCTTCACCCACTAAAATGCAAAGCACATGGGGAAACATTTCTCAAGCAGAGCTGTCTACCTCCAGGGTTAGGAACCAGTCCTCCCACATGGGTAACCAGCAGCACAGAGCTAGCGCCCCCTTAGGCAGTGAAGAGGAATGCACCCACACCAGCACTTTGAAGCCCTGTTCTGCCCTTGGCGCTGTTCTGCGGCCTACAGCCAGTCCACACACTGGGAGAGCTTCACCACTTGAAGATCCAGTTGTCCTTTCTCTGTGAGTCCAACATGATGGGGCTACTTTCTTTTTTCATTATTTGATAAATAATTAGCAGTTAACCTGGTCCGTGACCATGAAATCAGATTTCATTTAGTCAGCTATCATCCTCAAAGTACACATAATAGGCCCCTTTTTCACAAGTCATGTGTCATGTGACCTACTTATGGTAAAACACATCAGAAACAGTGTCTGTAGAAAGAGAAATCAGAACAGTCCTTTCTTCTGAACACTGAAATCCCTAGATCACATGCAAACGGATTTCCAGCGTGTTTAATACATTTAGTGAAGAAAATTTGAAAGGGTGGTTCAAGTTCAAGTTTATTTAAAGCCCCTTCCTACCCCCAATCAACGGGGCCCAAGGTGCTGAACATAAAGAAAACACAATAAAACAGCTGTATAGTAAAATACAGAAATCAAACATTCATAAGAGTTAAAAAAACAATAAAACAGCAATGATGATGATGATCACAACATTAAAACATGAGTAGATAACTAAGAAATAGATCTAAGATAAACCTTAAGTGTAGCTTTAAAACTGGGCAGCGATGTGGGCTGAGTTGGTTCCAAAGCCGAGGACCCAGAACTGGCTTTGGCCGCGGAACCACCAGGAGGTCACTCGGACCTGAACGTAGTGGTCTTGCAGACGTAAGGGGTCAGAAGCGAGACTAAATATGGTGCGGCAGATCCTGACAAAGAGTCGAAAACAAAGACCAGGATCTTGGAAAGGGTACAACATTTCACCGGTAACCAGTCCAAAGCAGCTAGGATGCGAGTGACATGCTCTCACTTCCGTGCTCTATAAAGAAACCTGGCAACAGCATTCTGGACCAGCTGCAGTCGAGTCAGTAAGGACGGGCTCAAGCCAGCATACAGGGAGCGTCAGTAATCTAGTCTAGAGGTAATAAAAGCATGGGAGCAGGGTATCCGCGGGTCCTTAAAAAGTCTTAAAAAGTCCTAAATTTGGCTCCCTTAAACCAGCAGATACCCTGTGGGAGTGACCCAAAGAAATGCTATAAAACACAGAAATCCATCTGGGCTGGGATTGAAAGATAACGTCATGCAAGAAAGCATACGGACCCTTTTAAACCAAAGGCTGGAGAAAGAAAGACAAAGAATTTACATAAAATAAAAGCTAATACATTTGTACTGATTAAGTCACACATCATTCCCCTCTTTGTTTAAAAATAATAAAAACCTGTAGATATTTCTGCACAATCAGAAACTATGACCTCTAGCTTGGTAATAATTCCTCTATTATTTTGAATTTCACCTGAACACATGTGTCTGTGAGTTCAGAGCAATAATAAAGTGAATCCACTATATTTAATGTCATCTTCTCCTTTTCTTTTCTTCAGACTGCGGCAGAACCTCAGAGAGAAGCACACTCGACACGTAGCGGATCTGAAAGCTTACTACGAGGCTGAGATCCAAAACCTACGAGACAAACTCAAACTCAAGGATCTGCCTCAGGATTTAGAGAAGAGCAATCTCAAGCTGACACAAAGGTTTGCATTAGTTTTTATTTTCATTTCTGTTTCCTTTCCTTCAATTCAAATCAAGTTTATTTATATAGCGCCAAATCATGACAAGAGTTGTCTCAAGGAACTTCACATAATAAAACATTCAAATACAGGTCAGGTAGGTCATTACTTGCTCGTGAAATGAACAATTGCAGCACAATTTAAGGAGAAGAAGGGACAAATTGAGACGCACATCTTTTGTAGAAACTATTGCCCAGATTTAAAGACTTTAGTTGGTGTAAATGAAAATTAATGGGATTAAAAACTCTTAACTCATTCACTGCCATTGACGACTAAAGTCGTCATTGGCATGTTTTTACTGTGTGGGCGTCGGACGAGCCCCTGCGCTGAGAGAACAAACATCTCAGCCCTGAAGCCAATCTTCATCCGCATACGTCACACATCACGTGATCAGGAAGCAGAACATCACAGGGGATCGTTTTGGGCAGCTGCTGTAAAAAAAGTGAGGTGCGAACCGGAAAAGCTTCTGCCGATCACAATTCAACAACGGATAATGAAAGAACGGATAACGCTCAAAACGCGCGGATTCTTCCTGATGTAAGAGGTGAATCTCCGCTTTGTTTTGGTTGTTTTGGCATCGACATCATCCTAGCGCGCAACGTTCTGTCACTTAAAAAACCCAGAAAAAACGGTGAGAAATGCTGGCAGCAAATGAGTTAAATAAATTCTGGGAATGTTTATTTGCTCTAATTACATTCAGACTAGAGGTGTAATGGCATGCCAAACATTCTGGTTTGGTACGTACCTTGGTTTTTACATCACGGTTTGGTTTATTTTCAGTACATTTTCTTCTGTGTGAACGGGTACAAACATTCAAAATAAAACTATTTGCAGTAAATTCTCCAACAATATATTATCAGATGACATACATTTAAATAATATAAGGCTGTTTGAGTATTTATCTTTTTAGGAAACTAGCATCAAAACTTGTCTGTTCAGCTTTAACTGAAAACAGAAATAATTTTTATATTTAGGACATTAAAGCCCTAGTGTGTTATAATTTCATTGTTAACTATTAAATTCTGTGTAGCCATTCACAAACATGCCTTT